TGGATGGAACAAGGAAGCTTTCCCATCTCGGAACACTTGGATCTGGTTTCCTTGGAGCATTTGAATGCCAAAGCATTCGAGCTTCACAGACTCAAAGGCAGGAGGGACGGTGGCAGCAGCCTTTCGGACCGCCCTGAAGCCCCGGCTCTGCTTTGAACCCTGTGATGTGCTCCAGCATCATCCCGAGAAGCCATCCAGTCTGGACTTGAAGGTGTCAGGAGATGGCAAATCCCCTCCTCCCCCGGGGCTCTGCTGGGCTGGTTCCTCACCTCCCTCTTAGAAATGTGAGGTTTCCTCCTCCTTTGCATGCGTCTGGCTCTGGCTCCCAGCCCTCGGCACTCGCTAAGGCAGAGCTGCTCCTCCTGGAGACCAGGATCCATTCCCAGCCTCTCCACCTCCGCCTGGTGCTGCTCAACCGGCTCTTCCCTGCTCTGCTGCGCAAGGCAGCAACAACCAAAACCCCTTCCTTGTCCACCGAGCGGCCGAGCTGGTCCAGAGGCCATGGGAGCAGAGCACAAGGATCTCCCGGCTCCTTAGCCCCATGGAACGGCTCCTGGGTTCAGAGGAACCCTGCAGGGCTCCTGGCCTGGAGGCTGTTCCCTCTGCCAGCCTTTGCTGGGGGAAGGCTTGGCTGGGTTGGTCCCAGTCCTCACCAGTGGGATCCTGGGTCCGGATGTGGAGATGCCCCTTGGTTCATCCATGGATCCTGCTGGAGCCGCTGCTCTGCCTGGGGAAAGGGCCCCAGAGCCTCTGCCCATGACCTCTGTGCTGTCACCAGCTTGGGACCCCGGTGCTGGGCTCGCTGCAGCCCTTCCTATGGCTCGTTGCTTGCTCCCTGCAGAGCAGAGCCCATTGGGACATGGCTTGTTCCAGTCTGGATGGATCCAGCCCCATCTCCCAGCTCTGGCTTTGCCTTCGGGAGCTGGACAGCCCCAGGCTCCCCCCGCCACCAGCGCAGCCATGGGGACCCCTTGACCTTGAAGTGTGGCCACAGCACTGTGGTGCCTGAGGAGCATTAAATCCATGGGGCGATGCCTTGAAGGATGGAGATGAGTTGGGAAACCCCATCCTGATTTTGGCTGATGCCTCGGCTGCGCCTCTCCATGGTGCTTGGGCTGGCTCTGGACACCTCACACCCCATGGCAGGAGGGTGCTGGTGGTACAGGGCACCGCAGAGGTGATGCCAGGGCAGGATCTGGGTCTGTGGTGGTGTCTGTGGGGTGGGTTTCAAACCCGTTAGGACGGATGCTCCAGGGGAAGCAGGGTTGGGAGAGCTGCAGGACAAGGACCTTGGCTCCTGCTGTGCCTCTCCCCCAAACCCAGGCCCGGGGCGCTGGTGCAGCACACACATGGTGCAGATCCCTGTGGATGCGATGCCCCCCCTGCATCCCTGCGCCGTGGATCCTCATTTCCTCCTCTCCTCCTTCCCCAGCCGGACCTCGGACCCACCCCGTGACCGCCCCCTCCATGCGCAGCCCCCGGCCCCAGCAGGAGGCTCAGGATGCTCCAAGTGCCTCGGTGACCGCGGGGGCAGCACCGGCGCCGGTGAGTGCCAGCCCCAGCATCCTGGGGCTCAGCCTGCCCCCAGCCCCAGCATCCCGGGGCTCAGCCTGCCCCAGGCCCCCCGTGCTGCTGAGGCCCCCGCATTGTTCCCAGCAGAAACTCAATCCCTGCCTGCAAACAAAGCCCATGGGGGGGGGGCTGGCAGGAGACTGGGGGGTCCTTTCTGTCCCAGCCCCATCCCCCATGGAAGCTGGGAATGCCGGGACGAGCTCCGGACCCTGTTGCCATCTCCTAGACAACCGGTGTGTAGGGGGGGTGGGTTGTTGCCATAGTGATAAACGTGTGAGCATCCAGCATCTGGGACAAAAGGACCCCCCCACACTCTTTTTGCCTCCCTGACCCCATCTCCCCCCTTCTTGAGACTTTGGAAAAGAGGCCAAAAGACATTTGGCTTTTCTTTGGTCAAAATGGCATTGCCGTGGTTACCGGGCACGGGTCCACCCCAAACACAGCACAAGGAGCTTGGGGGATGCCCAATGCCTGCATCCCCCCAGCACCCTGAGGGGGGATCAGGCAGGACCCCTCTGACAGGGTCCAGCACCCCCAGTATGGGTCAGGCAGCACCATGGCCCCGGTGGCTCCCACCAGTGTTCAGGTCCCTTTCCTGGTGGGATCACAGCCCCAGCTCCAAACCAGAGGCAGGGCTGTGAGCAGCTTGGGGGTCCCCAAAACCAGTGGGGGGCCTGGGCTGGGAGAGCACCGAGGCAGATCCTGCCTTTGCCACGGAGCTCTGAGGATGGCGTAGGTGGGTACTGGAGACCTTACTGCAGCCTTTCCATACCTAAAGGGGCTGCAGGGAGCCTGGAGAGGGGCTTTGGGCAAGGGATGGGGGGACAGGACAAGGGGAATGGCTTGAACCTGCCAGGGGGGAGATGGAGATGAGCTCTTAGGCAGAAGCTGATCCCTGTGAGGGTGATGGGACACTGGAATGGGTTGAAGGGAGAGCGTTTGGCTCCCCCATCCCTGGCAGTGCTCAAGGCCAGGTGGGAGCACCCTGCTCTAGAGGAAGGGATCCCTTCAGATGAGCTTTAAGGTCCCTTCCAACCCAACCCAGTCTGGGATTCCAGCATCATGTGTGTGTATGTATTTATATACTTGTCTGTCTACAAAAGGCTGCAGTGGGAGTTGGGGCTGGCTCACAACCATGTGGTAGCCATGAGTAAGTGCTCAGGGTGATGCTATCTGCCCCGAGACAGCCTTGTGATGCTGAACCAGCCTCTGGATGCGGCTGGGCTGGCCCAGGCCGGCGCTGCCATCCCCAGAGCACCCCCCCAGTGTCTCCCAGAGCAATCCCAGCTCACTCACTGGGAGCGGAGCTGGGGCCGGTGTGGAGCGATGCTCTCCAAGCTCATCTCCTGGCTGTGAGATCCCAGCTCCGCGCTGGGGAGCGTGTCCAGGCAGAGCCCTGCACTGCGAGATGGGCCTGAACCGTTGCCTGCACCCAGTTATTCATTCCTGTTTCTGTTTCTGTTTCCCGTGGCCCCCACCCTCAGCACCCTTTTGGCAGTTCCAGTCCTGCCTGTGGTGGTAATGGAAGCGTAAATCGCCCGAAGCAGGAGCTCATCGTGCGCTACGGTTACGGAAGGGGAAGGAGCAGCCCCAAACTCAGCTTGGGTAGGGGAGAGAACAGAAAGTGCCCCAAGATGGCCCAGATTCCTTTTCCCTGCTCATGTCCCATCCGTGTTTGCCACCAGGGCTGGAGCTGTGGTGGTACAGGGATAACACAGGTGGTGGTACAGGGATAACATGGATGGTGGTACAGGGATAACATGGATGGTGGTACAGGGATAACACTGGTGGTGGTACAGGGATAACGGGGGTGGTGGTACAGGGATAACACGGTGGTGGTACAGGGATAACAGGTTGGTACATGGTGTGGTACAGGATAACATGGATGGTGGTACAGGGATAACACTGGTGGTGGTACAGGGATAACACTGGTGGTGGTACAGGGATAACACAGGTGGTGGTACAGGGATAACACAGGTGGTGGTACAGGGATAACACTGGTGGTGGTACAGGGATAACACTGGTGGTGGTACAGGGATAACATGAGTGGTGGTACAGGGATAACATGGGTGGTGGTACAGGGATAACACTGGTGGTGGTACAGGGATAACATGGGTGGTGGTACAGGGATAACACTGGTGGTGGTACAGGGATAACGCGGGTGGTGGTACAGGGATAACACTGGTGGTGGTACAGGGATAACACTGGTGGTGGTACAGGGATAACACTGGTGGTGGTACAGGGATAACACTGGTGGTGGTACAGGGATAACATGGGTGGTGGTACAGGGATAACATGGGTGGTGGTACAGGGATAACACTGGTGGTGGTACAGGGATAACACTGGTGGTGGTACAGGGATAACACGGGTGGTGGTACAGGGATAACGTGGGTAATGGTACAGGGATAACACTGGTGGTGGTACAGGGATAACACGGGTGGTGGTACAGGGATAACACTGGTGGTGGTACAGGGATAACACTGGTGGTGGTACAGGGATAACGTGGGTAATGGTACAGGGATAACACTGGTGGTGGTGCAGGGATAACGCGGGTGGTGGTACAGGGATAACACGGGTGGTGGTACAGGGATAACACTGGTGGTGGTACAGGGATAACACTGGTGGTGGTACAGGGATAACGTGGGTAATGGTACAGGGATAACACTGGTGGTGGTGCAGGGATAACGCGGGTGGTGGTACAGGGATAACACGGGTGGTGGTACAGGGATAACACTGGTGGTGGTACAGGGATAACACTGGTGGTGGTACAGGGATAACGTGGGTAATGGTACAGGGATAACACTGGTGGTGGTACAGGGATAACGCGGGTGGTGGTACAGGGATAACACGGGTGGTGGTACAGGGATAACACTGGTGGTGGTACAGGGATAACACTGGTGGTGGTACAGGGATAACGTGGGTAATGGTACAGGGATAACACTGGTGGTGGTACAGGGATAACACTGGTGGTGGTACAGGGATAACACGGGTGGTGGTACAGATAACGGGTTGGTACAGGGATAACACTGGTGGTGGTACAGGGATAACACGGGTGGTGGTACAGGGATAACACTGGTGGTGGTACAGGGATAACACTGGTGGTGGTACAGGGATAACGTGGGTAATGGTACAGGGATAACACTGGTGGTGGTACAGGGATAACGTGGGTAATGGTACAGGGATAACACTGGTGGTGGTACAGGGATAACACTGGTGGTGGTACAGGGATAACACAGGTGGTGGTACAGGGATAACACAGGTGGTGGTACAGGGATAACATGGATAGTGGTACAGGGATAACACTGGTGGTGGTACAGGGATAACACCGGTGGTGGTACAGGGATAACATGGATGGTGGTACAGGGATAATGTGGGTGGCGGTGAGGGGATGCTCGCCATCATCCCGAGGCATTGCTGGCTGTGTCCCTGCCGCCGCCGAGCCTTCCCATCCCTCTGCAGGCGGGCGAGCTGTTTTCTCCTGAGACGAGCCCACCCCGGTGATCAAAATAGAGTCCTTCAAGGTGACGGTCGACTTCCTGAAGGTGCCCCTGGGCCTGAAGAAGCCCCCTCTGAAGGAGGCCCTGGCCGCTGTCCCGAGGCCGGCGAGACCCAAGCCCCTCAGCGTGGAGCGGCACAAGCCCCGGCGCTCCGACACCATGGACAATGAGTCGCAGTACTCGGGGTATTCCTACAAGTCCGGGCATTCCCGCAGCTCCCGCAAGCACAGGTGAGGGGTTGCTGCGTGCCCGTGGCCTCAGCGGGTGCTGTCACCCCAGCGCACCCAACGCACCCCTCTCTTTGGCCTTGCAGGGAGCGGCGGGACCGGCATCGCTCCAAAAGCCGGGATGGGAGCCGCGGGGACAAGTCCGTGACCATCCAAGCGCCGGGAGAGCCCTTGCTGGACAATGAATCCACGCGGGGGGACGAGAGGGTGAGCTGGGCACCGGCAGGAGCAGGGTTGGCACCCGTGGGGATGCTGCTGGGATCCCGGCATGCCCGGTGCTCCGGTCGAGCCGGTTGGGCTGGCCCCGCGCCGGCGGCGAGGGCGGGCGGGCAGCACCGGTGCAGATGAAAGGGGACCGGCTCCTGCGGCGCCTTGGGGGGGGCATGGGGTGCCCAGGGTGGAAAAACAGCCTGGGGACCCAATCCGTAGGGATCCACTCCCTTGGGATTAACTGAACCCTCCCTCGGCGCCTGCAGGTGATGCCGGCTTGGCTGCACTAGGGCAGCAGGATCCCACCGGGGAGTGGGTTGATGCGGAGGAGGCTCCGTGCTGCATCCCTCCAGCCCAGCCCCGCGGTCCCATGGGGGTCCCTTGTTCCCCTGCTCTGGGTACCAGGATCCTCCGGCCAATCCTTGGCTTTAATCCCCTCCCAGCCACCCACACAGGCGGCTCCAGCCCTTTTCATCTTCCCCCACCAAGAAGCCGGCGCTGGCAGAGGCCGGGATGCAGTGGCTGAGCCTGGGTTCACCTGGGGATGGGCTGGGGTTTGGACTGGTCCTCCCAAGCCCTCCACTGCTCCCCATGGCTCCAGAAAGCCCCAGGCTGTGGCTTTAGTTTGCTCTTTGGCATGGAATTGCCGGCTTTCCCATGGAGATCCGGAGGGGGGAGATAGGATGCGATAAACCCCAAGCTTCAGGGATGCCAAGGAGCTGTAAGGCCGAGCGTGGATGGGAATGGGTCGGTTTGCACCCTCTGGCTGGAGGAGGGAGGGGGATTTTGGAAGCAGGGATGATCCCACTGGTTCTGAGCTGCTGGATCACCATTGACTTAGTGCTGGAGGAGGAGCCGCGGTGGGGCTGTGTTGGGGCAGCAGCCGGGCATGTTCCTTCTGGCCCTCTAATGAGGGGTTTGCCTGGAACCGGGATGCTCCCTGCTCCCAGAGCTGCCGCAAAGGCGCAGCGCACACGGAGCTGCCAACGGGGGTTTCCCACAGGGTCCCGGAGGCCAAATCCCTGCATCCCCCTGACTCCAAGCCGGGGTTCCCACCTCAATGGGGGTGATGGCACCAGGCAGCGCGCCGGGCTTGGAGGTTTGGTGGATGGGAGCTGGGGTGGGGGGGATCAGCGTGGTGCCGGTGATGGGGAAGCACCAATCCATGCCCCTTGTAACCCATCCTTAGGATGACAACTGGGGCGAGACCACCACCGTGGTGACGGGGACGTCGGAGCACAGCATCTCGCACGACGACATCACCCGCATCACCAAGGACATGGAGGACAGCGCCCATCTGGACTGCTCCCGGCATCTGGGCGTCTCGCTGGCCGGGGCGCTGGCGCTTCTCGCCTTCCTCACCCCCCTCGCCTTCATGCTGCTGCCCCAGCTGCTGTGGCGGGAGGAGCTGGAGCCCTGCGGGACGCCCTGCGAAGGGCTCTTCATCTCCGTGGCCTTCAAACTCCTCATCCTCCTGCTGGGCAGCTGGGCCCTCTTCTTCCGCCGCCCCAAAGCCTTCTTCCCCCGCGTCTTCGTCTTCCGAGCGCTGCTCATGGTGCTCGTCTTCCTCCTCGTCGTCTCCTACTGGCTCTTCTATGGGGTGCGCATCCTGGACTCCCGGGACCGCAACTACCAGGGGGTGGTGCAGTTTGCTGTCTCGCTGGTGGATGCGCTGCTCTTCGTGCACTACCTGGCCGTGGTGCTGCTGGAGCTGCGGCAGCTCCAGCCCCAGTTCACCCTCAAGGCCGTGCGCTCCGCCGACGGCGCCAGCCGCTTCTATAACGTTGGACACCTCAGGTATGGGGGTACAGCATCGTGTGTGGTGTGCATTGCGTGGTGTGTGCATTGTGTATGGTGTGCATTGTATGGTGTGTGCATTGTGTATGGTGTGCATTGTATGGTGTGTGCATTGTGTGGTGTGTGCATTGCGTGGTGTGTGCATTGCGTGGTGTGTGCATTGTATGGTGTGTGCATTGTGTATGGTGTGCATTGTATGGTGTGTGCATTGTGTGGTGTGTGCATTGCGTGGTGTGTGCATTGCGTGGTGTGTGCATTGCATGGTGTGTGCATTGCGTATGGTGTGCATTGTGTATGGTGTGCATTGTGTATGGTGTGCATTACATGGTGTGTGCATCGTGTATGGTGTGCATTGCGTGGTGTGTGCATGGCGTGGTGTGTGCATCATGTGGTGTGTGCATTGTGTATGGTGTGCATTGCGTGGTGTGTGCATTGTGTATGGTGTGCATTGCGTGGTGTGTGCATCACGTGGTGTGTGCATTGCGTGGTGTGTGCATTACATGGGTGCTCCAGTGTGCTTGTGCCTTCCTGTGTGTGTGTTCATGGTGCCCAGTCCATGCAGTGCCGCACGGGTCGGTCCCTACCCTGTCCTCCTCCTGCCCCTGGCACGGTGCTGACCAGCTCTGTGTGCCTGCAGCATCCAGCGAGCGGCCGTGTGGATCCTGGAGAACTATTACCACGACTTCCCGGTCTACAACCCTGCCCTCCTCAACCTGCCGAAATCCGTCCTGTCCAAGAAGATGTCTGGGTTCAAAGTCTATTCCCTCGGCGAGGGTGAGCTCCCCTTCCCTGCCCTTTTCCTCCTGTTCTCTCTCCTCATTCCCTCCCCATCCCTGTGTTTTCCTCTCCTCTTGGCTCTGGGCATAGCACAGCCGCTCTCCAGCCTTCTCCAGATCATAGAATGGTAGAACCATGGAATGGGGTGGGTTGGAAAGGGCCTTGAGATCATCCAGTTCCAATGGGCAGGGACACCTCCCACTAAACCAGGGCACCCAAGGCTCTGTCCAAGCTGGCCTTGAACACTGCCAGGGATGGAGCATTCACAACCTCCCTGGGCACCCATTCCAGTGCCTCAGCACCCTCACAGGAAAGAGTTTCCTCCTTAGATCCAATCTAAACTTCTCCTGTTTCAGTTTTAACCCATCACCCCTTGTCCTGTCACTGCAGTCCCTAATGAAGAGTCCATCCCCAGCATCCCTATAGGCCCCAATCCATCATGGAATGGTTTGGGTTGGATGGGACCTCAAAGCTCATCCAGCTCCATGGGCAGGGGCACCTTCCACTGGAGCAGGGCGCTCCAAGCCCCATTGAGCACCACCAGGGATGGGGCAGCCGCAGCTCCTCCGGGCACCCCATGCCAGCGCCTCAGCACCCTCACAGGGGGGAAACCTCATCCCTTTCCCCACAGAAAACAGCACCAACAACTCCACGGGCCAGTCCCGCGCCGTCATCGCGGCGGCCGCCCGGCGCCGGGACAACAGCCACAACGAGTACTACTATGAGGAGGCAGAGCACGAGCGCAGGGTGCGGAAGCGCCGCGCCAGGTACGGCACCGGGAGCCCCATCACTGCGGGTCCTGTGGGGTGCCCATGCCAGGACCCCTATGGGCTGTGCTGGTGAGGGGGGGGCTCACCTCCAAGTTGAAGCATCCCTGTTCTTTGTGGAAGAGCATCCCTACGTGTTGTGGGCACAACCAGGTCTCCCCCAGAGCAGTTTTGGGTCGGGAGGTGGTTTCCTGCTGTACATACGTGGGCAAACGGCTCCCGTTCCCCATTCCCAAGGGGTCTCTTGTCTGTACCCAAACTGACCCCGTGCCGGGGGTTCCCTCCCCGCAGGCTGGTGGTGGCGGTGGAAGAAGCCTTCACCCACATCAAGCGGCTGCAGGAGGAGGACCAGAAGAACCCCCGGGAGATCATGGACCCGCGGGAGGCAGCTCAGGCCATCTTCGCCTCCATGGCCCGGGCCATGCAGAAGTACCTGCGCACCACCAAGCAGCAGCCCTACCACACCATGGAGAGCATCCTGCAGCACCTCGAGTTCTGCATCACCCACGACATGACGCCCAAGGTGTGTGCAGTCATGGGACCGTAAGCTAGGTTGAGTTTATGCTCCCATTACATTGAGGGAAAGACCTTTAAGGTCAAGTGCAACCCTTAGAACACGAGTGTGGAGGTGCACAGTGAGCTGGGATGGGCCCACAGGTTTTCCCAAGGGATTGGTGCAGAGCGTGGAGCGCTTGGGTTTGGGTTTTCTTCCCCAGTACAAGAAGGGAGGGCAAGGAGCTGGGGTAGAACCATCAAAGCAGGCGTAATCCCAAGGGAGCAGGGTGCAGGGATGGGAACTGGCTGCGCAGGGATGCGCTTCCTGCAGGACCTGCTGAGCAGCTTGGGGCTGCAGAACCCAAAGGGGAAGGTGATGTTCACGTGTCCTTCCCCTCCTCCAAGGCATTCCTTGAGCGGTACCTGACGCCTGGGCCCACCATCCAGTACCACAAGGACCGCTGGTTGGCCAAGCAGTGGACGCTGGTGAGCGAGGAGCCGGTGACCAACGGCCTCAAGGACGGGGTGGTCTTTGTGCTGAAGCGCCAGGACTTCAGCCTCGTGGTGAGCACCAAGAAGATCCCCTTCTTCAAGCTCTCGGAGGAGTTTGTGGACCCCAAGTCGCACAAGTTCGTCATGAGGCTGCAGTCAGAGACCTCTGTGTGAGCTGGGGAGGGATGGAGAGGGGCCGGGGGGAGAGCATCTCCCTTCCCATCCATCTCGGCTTCACCACCTCCGCTGCGGCTCAGGGAGGCCACGGCTCAAGGGCAGAACTAAGGAAGCAGCACCCATTGCCTGGCTCCATCACCTGCCTGTGAGCGCTTGGCCATCGGGGTGGGCTGAGCCCCTTCCTCCTCCTCCTCCTCCTCCTCCCTGAAAGCCAGGTCCCTGGAGCATCCCCCCCGAAGGTGCAACGGGCACAGGCAGGGAGGAGCCGGCGCTGCGGTGCCGTAACCCAAGGGCTAACTCTGCCTTCATCACCAGCGTCTTCAAGCACCATCAGGTCCCAAGGACCTCCGGCGCTTGCCTCTTTTCTACCCGGCTCTGGCCTTAAACCATTGCCCAGCATCTGGGGCTGGTTTTTAATCCTAGAGGTTCTTCTGGGCACTGTGTTGCAAACACCTCCGTGATCCATGGCTGCTATGAAAGCCCCTGGCACCCAGGACACCGTTCCCTGGCTCTCGGAGCATCCTCTCTGCTGATGGCTCCCACTCAGCTCTCAACAACAGCAAGTGCAAAGCTGGTTTGTATGAGAAGCAGAAGAGGGTTTCCAAGCGGTTTCCCTGCTCCTGATGGGATCCATGTCCTTCATCCCAGCAGCATCACCATGGGGCTTCCTGTTCTGGCTGTGGGGTGCAAGCAGAGCAGCTTAAAATGTGTCTTGGGGTCAATCCTGGACCTGGAGCCAGCGGTGGGAATGAAGCGAGCGGTTCCTGGTGGGGATGCTGAGTGTCCTTAGCATCCCATGGGGAGGGCTGACCCACGGGGGTCCCACGAGCTGGCTCGCCATGGGGACGCACAAGCTTTTGCCTTCCCTCGCTCGTGTTAAGGTCACAAATACCTCATGGATTTAGGTTAATTTGGGGGTCGTTTCTCTTTTTTCCCTATGGATCCCGGAGCCTCGGGGAAGGAGGGCCCGGGGGAGGCTGTGGCTGGGCAGGAGGGGGTGGTTTGGTCACGGTGGGGTTTGGTTTGGGGTTAGTTTGGCCCAAAGCACCCAAAAGGTGCGAAGCGAGGGGCTGTGGTCCCGATGCCACCATAGAGGGGCCGGGGCTCTCCCTGCGGGTACCAGGAGCAGAGGGAAGATGCTGGAGGGGTCCTGCGGGGTCCGACCCCATCCATGGCTTGGGACCGGCTCCCCCGCTTCCAGGATACCCCCATTTTTCAGGCATCTCCAACCCCTCCTTCATGTTCTTGAGGCCGAAGGTTTCACCCCTGGCCCCCATCAGGGAGCCCGTTTTGGGGTGGTTTAGTGCAAAGAGATGACTTTGGCAGGCGCGGGTGGGTCGGCCGGGGAAAAGGGGGGGATTTTTCCACTGGGGAGTTTCAGAAGAAACCCTTCTTTTTGGTTCATTTGGGGTTTGGTCCGGGGGGGTTTTGTTGTTGCGTTTCCGCCGAGCCGAGCCCGAGTGCATGCGTGTAGAAAGTTGTAAAGTGTAAAATGGGGGGGGTTTGTTAATATATAAAGAGCTTGGGTTTGCAGCCTGCAGCGGCTCGGAGCCGTGCGGCCCTGGGAGGAGTTGGGTTCGTTTCTGGTTTTCATAGAGGAACTAAAACTGTACAAATTTTTTTTTATATATATATAAAAAATAAACCCTTTTTTGACTTTTTTTTATGCTGATGCTGATGGTGATTATGGTGATTATGGTGATTTTCTCCTCCATGCCAACGCTTTGGGGTCAAGAAGCAGGTTTAGGTCCCTGCTCAAGGGATGCGCTGAGAGAGGACCTCATCCTGCGCTCGGTGTAGGACAAGGGCTTGGGGTTGGGGGGGGGCATGGATTTTGGGTCTCTGGGGCCAGGGATTTGGGGGTTGAGGGATGAAGGATTTGGAGTTTATGGAGGGCAAGGATTTGGGGTTTAAGGAGCCAAAGGTTTGGGCTTTACAGGGGTTGGGGTTAGGAGGGTCCAAAGGTTGGGTGTTTATGGGCACCAAGGGCTTGAGGGTTGGGGTCTAAAGGGACAAGGGGTGGCCAGGGCCAAGGTTTTGGGGACCTATGGGAGAAAGGGCTTGGAATCCATGGAGAAAAGGGTTTGGGGGTGCAGGGTCAAGGTGTGGGGGCTCGTGGGGACCAAGGCTTTGGGGTTTATAGAACCACGGGGTCCCAGCCTGGGGTGGGTTGGGAAGGAGCTTCAAGGTCATTGGGGTCCAGCCAGGGCCGCCTTGCACTGGTGTGGATGCAAGTGTCAGCACTGCATCCACATTGGGGTCTGCATCAACATTGAGGTCTGATGGGACCGGGGTTTGGGGCTTGCAGGGATTCGGGATTCACGGGGATGCAGGGTTTGGAGGGCCAAGGCTCTGGGGGTCCAAGGCTTTGGGGTGGATGGTGAAGGGTTTGGGACGAGCGGGGGGGTGCGGAAATGCCCATTCCCAAATCCCCAACCCCTTTGTGGGGGTCGAGCCCTGTGTGTCGTTGTCCCCCCCCCATTGCACCTCTCCCAGGGGGGCTGCAGAGCCTCTTCCTGCCCCCGTGGTCACCTCGCTGGGGCACCCCCCTGCACCCCCCTGCACCCCATGCACCCGCACTGATGGGGCCCCCCCCAGCGCTGATCCCCGGCCCCAGCCTTGGTGTTTCCGTTGCCTTTCGCACCTTTCGCTGTCACCACCGCCTCTGCTCCGCTCCGAACAATGGGGAGAAGGTGACAATGGGGGGGGGGGGGGTCCTCCCCAGCAGGGAAACCCACGGGGTTCTGGGGTGAAATCCGTCTTTATTGGCTCAGCTGTGCCCCACGTCCCACACCGGTCCCCTTTCCCACCAGGATTAGGGCATCCATGGGGTTAGGAGCACAGGGGCACAGGATGCTTGGAGCATCTTCCCGTCTCAGTGTCCCTCTGGAAGCCACTGGGAGCACTCAATGGGGACTGGGCTCCCCGGAGCAATGGGGACCGCTGGCAGCTGGGGGGGCATCGGGCTGGAAAGAAGCAAAATGAGATGCTGGGGGGGGGGGGCAGTGTCCCCCCACCGCTGCGCTGGGGCTCAGTACATTGGGGTGAGTACCTGGGGGTCCTGCCCGCTGAAGGTGGTTTCAGTGCTCTCCAGGGCTCGGGGTCTCTCTGGCTCTGCCCTCTCCTCCTGCAAGAGGCGCTGCTTGAGGAGCTGCATGGAGCATCCTCATCCTCATCCGCGGGTGCTGGGTGCTCTCCTCTGTGCCCGCTGGGGTACCCAAGGCCCGTGCAGGGCTCCCGGCTCACCTGGGCAGCAGCGGCTCTGGGGGTGCTGGTGGCATCCAGGGCTCCCAGGTCTGCAAGGCAAGGAGCTGGGATGGGGCTCAGGGCACCGAGCCCGCGTCAGGGGGGGTCCAAGGCTCAGGGTGAGCACCTCTCACCTGAGGAGTCGTTGGTGGAGGAGGCTCGGTCCCGGGTCCCTGCTGCCGGGGCAGATGTAGGGGTTACAAGGGGTTTGCAAGGGGTTTGCAAGGGGTTTGCAAGGGGTTTATGAGGGGTTTAGGAGGGCTTTACAAGGGGTTTGCAAGGGGTTTACAAGGGGTTTGCAAGGGCTTTACAAGGGCTTTGCAAGGGGTTTACAAGGGGTTTATGAGGGCTTTACAAGGGCTTTGCAATGGCTTTACAAGGGGTTTACGAAGGCTTTACAAGGGGTTTACAAGGGGTTTACAAGGGCTTTACAAGGGCTTTTCAAGGGCTTTACAAGGGGTTTTCAAGGGCTTTACAAGGGGTTTACGAGGGCTTTGCAAGGGGTTTACTAAGGGTTTTACAACGGGTTTAAAGGGCTTTACAACGGCTTTACAAGGGGTTTACAAGGGCTTTACAAGGGCTTTACAAGGGCTTTACAAGGGCTTTGCAAGCCCCTCCTGAGATGCGAGCTTTGGGGCTTGCAGGAGGAGGAAAACCTGAGCCTTGTGCTAGAGCAAGGGGCAGAGCTGGCCCCAGAGGGGTGCACCCCGGGGCAGGGAAGGGAGCTCCGGGTTCAAACCTGGGCTTTTGGAGCCAGACTGAGCAAGGGGGCAGCCCCACCATGGCCAAGGGGGTTCTTGCTCTGCCCCCCTTGCTCCAGCGCACACCCAGCACCCAGTGAGTGATGCTGCCCCGAGGATGTGGGTTGGGAGGAGGCTGTCAGCTCTTCCTGCCAACCCAACGCGCTGCTGAGCACCCCATGGGGCCCTCACCTTCCCCCTTGGTCCAGCGGTAGGTGAGGAAGAGCACGAGCAGAGCAACCAGCACGAAGATGGCCGGGGACCAGTACTTGATGGGGAGAGCCGGTGCGTTTCCTAAGGGAAGAGATAGGGGATGCGGCCCGGCTGCCTGCAGGTGCCCAAAGGGATGGGGTAAAAGCTCCCTGGGGGGATGCAGGACATCCCCAAGCTGCAGCTTTGCCTTCCTCCATGGGACTCACGCGTTCTGTTGCCTGCAGCATCCCTTTGGGGCAGCACGGAGGTGGGGATGGGGTCCCTGCTCCAAGGAGGGGCTGGGGATGCTGTTGGCCACGGTGTCAGCTCCTCCGTATCCCCAGGGGTTGTGTTGGGGTCTGTCAGCAGCTCCAGGCCATCGGCACCATGGCCTGAATCCTCTTTGAGGGTGAGAGCTGGGAATGAGGGGCAGCAGTTGATGTCAATGCCTCCCCACCCCAAAACTGCCCCTATGGAGAGGGAATGGGGCTGCATCACCATGGTCCCACACCAAAACTGCCCCTATGGGGCGGGAATGGGGCTGCACCACCATGGTCCCACACCAAAACTGCCCCTATGGAGCGCGAATGGGGCTGCACCACCATGGTCCCACACCAAAACTGCCCCTATGGAGCGGGAATGGGGCTGCATCACCATGGTCCCACACCAGGAGCTCAGCCTGCACCACAGCACCACGGCTTAGGGAGAGGCCTTTAGGGACAAGGGGATGCCAATGGATCCATGGCATTGCCCCCCACCACGTTCACACTGAGACACCCTAAGGCAGAGGATGCTCCCGGTGGCGTTGCCATGGGGGGTGCTGGCAAGGGCCAGGCCACCAGCAGCATCCCACTGGTGCCAGCACCCAGGGGTGCTCTGTGGTGGTAGAACGGGGTCAAGCAACCCGGCCCATGGTGAGATGTGGACAAGGAAGGGGCCGGGTGGCCACTGAGCATCCCTGCCCTTGGCCAGCAAAGGGCTGGGCTGAAGGAGCCCAGGGTGGGGATTTGGGGCCCAAATCAATGCTGGGAGAGCACAGGGATCCCCAGCTCAACCCCTGCACATGAGCCAGACCCCAGCCAAGCCATGAAGCTGTGGCCTAAGCCTTTCCCCCCATGCAATGTCCAGGGGAGCATCCTGCCCTGCTGCAAAGGGGCCCCTGAGCAGGCCCCGTGGTCGCACACCCACTGCCTTCACATCGCCCCTTCCTCCTCCTCTTCCTCCTCCCCCAGCCCCATAGATGGGGGGGAACCCCCCCGAACCCCACTCACCAGCTCCGGAGCACAGCACTGCCATGCAGAGCCAGCCCATCCCCACGCCTCTGGGCTCCATCCCCCCTTCCCCTGCTCCCTCTTGCAATGTCTTCCTTCCCCTTTCTGCCCCACCAACGGCTTCCTGTGAGCTCAAAGGTGCTGGCACTGAAATAGGGTGATGAATGGCCAGAAACCATCCCATGGAGGGATGGGGGGGGCATTCTGGGGCTATGACCAGCATAGGGGATAGATCCCATGATGGGGGCAAAGCTGGAGGTGATGCTCCAGTGATGCTCCGGTGATGCTCCGGCTCCCTCTGGACCGGTCCACGGTGCCATCACCACTGGTTTAAGCCTCATCCAGGCTGGGGATTGGAGTTGCAAGGGCAAATTTGGTGCCACACGGGCAATGCATGGTCAAACCCATGGTCCACGGGGTGCGTTCTGAATGGATCACAGTGGAAACTCAAACACCTACGGTGAAAACGCAGCGAGCAAAGAAATCACTGCCCAAACCGGCCTGGATTCACCTCAAATCGTTCACAGACAGAAGCTGAGCGCGGATGTGTCTGGCATTTTTATTCCTGGAGGCTCCCCTGCGCCAGGCGCTTCCAGGAGATCTCCAGCTTCATCCCTGAATAATTTACTGTCTACACAGAGGAGACAAAGAGCGGGGGGAAGCGGCACGGGAAGAGGCTTCCCATTGTCTGGCAGCACCGGAGCACTGGTGCCGATGTGGGAGCTGGGCTCCGTTGCTGGCTCTGGGGGGGATTTGGGGAGCGGGGATTTGGGGTGCCCCATGTCCTGCTCACTGGGCATCCCCTGCTTTGTTAGATCCCAGCTCTGGGTGAAGCCCACAGGCGCTGCTGCAGGGCAAGCATCCCGGTGGGATGCAGCCATTAATGAGCTGTGCAGCATCCCTGCATCTCTTGGGAAGCTGCTCTCCTCCTAAAGCTTCCATACAAATACTTCACCCAAGAATTAAACCTCATCTTCAAACACATCAGCACTGGAGTGGGACAGCATCACCCACGTTCCTTGTCCTGTTTGCCCCCAGGCTGCATCATCTCCTGCCTCTGGCCCATGACAGCATCCCAGGGGACCACGAACCGCTCGCTGCTGGCGTAAAGCGATGCTGAGCACGGTGCTGGGGGCTGTGGGGTCTGCGAGGTCCCCAGCAGGACCAGGAGCGCTGCAGAAGCAGCCAGACCTGAAAGGGGAGCTCCCGGGTGTGCTCCTGGGTGAATGCAGGTGAGTTCCCATCTTCGGCTTTGCACCACCAAGCGTTATCCTTGCTTCCTGTCCGGTGAGCGATCAAACGGAGCTGCCAGTGTTTGCCACGTTGAGAAGTACAGGGCAAGGAAATGGGAAGAAAGGGGCTAAGAGGCTCCTCAGCTCCTCCCGGCCTCCATTGGGATGCTCCAGACTGCAAGGTGCTGCAGGGCGAATCCCAGGAATCACAGAATCACACCAGCTTGGAATGGCTTGGGTTGGAAGGGACCTTAAAGCTCATCTGCAGCCATGGGACCCCTTCCACTGGAGCAGGATGCTCCAAGCCCCTGTGTCCAACCTGGCCTTGAGCACTGCCAGGGATGGGGCAGCCACAGCTTCTCTGGGCACCCTGTGCCAGCGCCTCAGCACCCTCACAGGGAAGAGCTTCTGCCTAAGAGCTCAGCTCGGGCAGGTTCAAGCCATTCCCCTTGGAGCATCTCTGTGGCCCATCAGGAGCATCAGCTCACGTCCTTGCTATGGGAGCACTGGACCTGCAGCCACCGCTCTGGATCATGGGGGGACCTGATGGCTCCATACAGGTGCCTGCCAGGAGGGGCTGGGCTCTGCTCCCAAGGAGCAAGGGATGGGACAAGAGGAACCGGCCTCAAGCTGCACCAGGGCAGGTTTAGATGGAGCTGAGGAACAATCCCTGCCCCAGAGGATGCTCGGGCACTGGAACAGGCTGCCCAGGGCAGGGCTGAAGGCACGGGGCAGTGCTGGGAATGGTTTGGTTTAATGATCTTAAAGGTCTTTTCCAACCCAGCTGCTTCCATGATTCCATGATGATTCCATGATGATTCCATGACTCCATGGCCCTTCTCCCCTCCAGAGCGGGCAGCAATGGCAGGAGCACCGCACTCAGAGCAAGCTGGAGTATTGCTCCCGCAGGTTGACCAAGGAGTAGAGGGTTTTCTCCTCCTGCTCCCCGCAGCCTGGCAGCCCCTTACCCATCTTCTCATCATCCGTCTGCAATCACAAAGGGACAAAAGCTTTGCTCGGGCTCGCGGAACCCAATCCTTCCATTGGCAAGAGAGAGGGGACCCATGGGCTTGGGTTGATGCTCTGGAGCCCAGGAAGCCCAGTGAGGTCCCATCTGCTCCTGCCTGTGGGCCCAGGGGTTGCATCTCTCCCCCTGGGGTCTTGGCCATCTCCTTGCTTGGTGCTGGAGCCCCTTTAGGGGAGGTGGCCACGAGCCACGGCTCACCTGGGCTGTACCTGGTGCCGTGGAACGGGCGGGTTTGGAGGTCTCGGCCCTAGGGGTCGGTGTCGTGGAGCCCTCCTGCAGGCAGCCCTGGGGGAAAGGCTTTAGAAGGAATAAAGCATCCCAAGGGAGCCAAAGGAACCGGGGTCAGTGGGGCTGGGGACAGAGACCCTGGGCATGCACTGGGAAGCGCAGGCGGCTGTGCCCACGCGGCTGCTCCTGGGGCTGCCCCAGCACCAGGTCCCCATTCAGGTTCCCATGAGGAACCCATAGGCTGAGGTTGTCCTTCCTCCCACCCCATCCTGGCCCCAGCTCATCCCCCCTGCATGCAGGGACCCCCCGCATCTGCATCCTGGTCCAGGCAGGTACCCGGAGGATGGGGATGAGCCTGCAGGAACTCACCTGCTGGAAGGGGCCAACCTGGGCATACACCGTGGTGTACTCTGCTCTGGGCTCTGCGGGGAGAGAAGAGGGGAAGGTCAGCGAGGGAACAGGCTGGGGTGGGGGGGAATCCTGGCTTAAAGCAGGATGAGAGGTGCTGGGGGGCTTTGATGTGGGTCTGGGTGGAGGTGGAGCATCGCTTTGCATCCCACTGCCTGCCCCACTGGAGGCAAAGGATGGCAGTGGAAGGTGCACCAGCACAAACCAGCTCTTCCCATTCCAATCCAAGATCCCCAGCTGCTCTCAAAGGGTGAGGTGCATTTGTCTCCTTCAGACACTGGCACCATGGCAGCCTCAGCTCCTTCTTTGGCCCATCAGAGGAGGGGAGAGGGTTAAAATCCTTCATAATCCCATTTGGGGGTCAGAATTCCAGTATCCCTCATTGCAGCACTGGAGGAACAGCGATGCAGGCTTCAGGCAGGGCAGGGATTGCTGCAGGGAGATGCTTGGCCCAATGTTCACAATGGAAAGCTGGATCTCAAGGGTTGGGTGGGAGGAGCCCATGGTCCTGGTGCTGAGTGCACCCCAACATCCAGGCACAGGCAAAGACAAGGCAGGAATTTCCCCATTGGTGTGAGCTGATGGGAACAACAACGTTTCCCATGGATGGAAGGAAGGGTCAGTGGGATCTGTGCTGGGCACCGGCCCCGTTGTAGCAGCAACGGGCATGAGCCTGCGCCCCAAAACAGCCCTGAGCATCCTGATCCTTTGGTGATCCCATGGCTGTGCCCCAGCTGCTTCGTGGTGGGGCTGGCACCCCGTTTTCCAGCAGGAAACTGGGGAAGAGCAGAGCTTCAGGCTCAGGAGCATCATCGGGGTCACCTCGTGGAGCCCCCTTCCATGCATGCAGGGTGAGGGTGCGGGGAGGGGCTGGGGTCCCTCTGGTACCAAGCCCCAGCAGTGGATGCTTCCCCCCCCGATTTCCAGTGCAACCGGGGTGTTCCCAACAGGAAAAAGGGGGATGGATGGAGGGAGGGGAGCGCCTGGGGCAGCCCCGGTGCCCTACCTGTGCTCACGGCCTCATCTGCACGCAGGTGGAAGAGCCTCCAGCCTGGGGGAGAGCAACGCAGGGGCTCCCATCAGCAGCGGCCACAAGAGCAAACCCCACGGAGCATCCTCAGCTCCGGCACCTGCATCCCCCCCCCCCGGTGTCGGGGCCGTGATGGACCCCATGGACGGGACCCTCAGGCCCGCAGGCTCCCGCAGGCTCCGCTCACCTTTGGGTTTGCAGCAGACCACGAGGAGAAGCGATGCTAAAAGCACTGCGGATCCGGCTACCACTGTGGCCGCAATCACAGCCTGCCCGCTGGAGGGGGTGCCTGCAGAGAGAACAGGGTCCGGTAGCAGCATCCCAGGGTGGATCTGCCTCTTCCCAGCATCAGAGGGGGGGGGAAACGGGCACGGCCCTGCTCCAACACCTTGCTGAGCCCTTCATGCATCACAGGGACCCTTGCTCCACGGTCCAACGTGGAAGAGCAGCGATGCACTGCATGAGGATGGGTGATGCTGCGGACGGAGCAGTGGCAGGGAGACTCCATCCCCAGCCCCTCCATGGCCACGGCTTTCCCCACTGATGTCCCTTTGCCTCCTGGGGTCCCCATGGGTGGGGAAAACCCCACTGGGAGCCAGGCTCCCCTCTGCAGCCCATCCTGGGCTCTGCTGCTTTGCTGCTGCCATCCCAAAGCAGGGGTTTTGGGGGGTCACCGAAAGCATCAGTGGGTTTTGGGGGTCACCCAAAGCAGCAGTGGGTTTTGGGGGGTCACCCAAAGCAGGGGTTTTTGGGGGTCACCCAAAGCAGCAGTGGGTCTTGGGGGGTCACCCAAAGCAGCAGTGGGTTTTGGGGGGTCACCCAAAGCAGCAGTGGGTTTTGAGGGGTCACCCAAAGCAGCAGTGGGTTTTGAGGGGTCACCCAAAGCAGGGGTTTTGTGGGGTCACCCAAAGCAGGGGTTTTGTGGGGTCACCCAAAGCAGCAGTGGGTTTTGGGGGTCACCCACTCCCCCCCGTTGACAAGGAGAGGCTCGGGCACACCGGGACACGGAGGAGCGAGGCTGGACACGGGCAATTGGGATCTCACCCTCGGTGGGAGGCTGGGCTCTGCCTTCTGCCGCGCGGGGAGGGGAGAGAGCACGGGGGAGCTCAGTGCCCCCCTGCCCCTCTCTCTGACCGCGCAGCGCAGCCCGGGGGGGAGCAGGAGCCAGGGGCCATGGTCCTGGTGCTCGTTACCTGCGCAGAGGGCAGCGGCCGAGCTCACGGTGACGTTGCGGCTGCTGACGGGGTTCTGCGCCGTGCACGCGAGCAGCGGCTCCCCCGGGGGGGGCTCCTCCACCGTCACCGTGGCCCCGGGGCTGCGCCCGCTCCCCACGCTCCAGGCGTAGGAGACGTCTCCGGCGCCGGCTCCGGCCGCGGCGCAGCGCAGGGTGAAGCGGCAGGGCCCGGCGGAGCAGTTCTGCCCGGTGCAGGTGACCGAGGGCGCCTCCAGCTCCCCTGGGGGCCGCAGGGAGATGTCAGAGCCCCCGCAGGGCGCAGGGCACGCAGCGAGGGGCCGGCAGCGGGAGGTCCCTACCGTACACACGCAAGGTGAAGGTGGATTTCACCCCTGCGCTCTTGGCCGTGTAGGTGCCCGCATCCTCCAGCCGCAGCGGGGAGATGCTGAGCGCGCTGCCGTTCCCCGGGAAGGACAAGCGGGGCTTGAAGCTGTCCTCGAAGAAGGTGGCCTCGGGAGGGTCCCCGAAGCGCACGGTCACAACCACGTCGTTGTGGAAGCTCCAGGCGGCCGCGCTGCCCCGCGGGCTCTGCAGCTGGAAGGTGATGGAGCTGCCCACGGCGCCGACCATCTCCGAGCCGCTGGTGCTGAGCGCTGGGGGGGAGAGGCGGGGCTGAGCGCTGAGCTGGGGACAGGATGTGGGGAAGGGGGCTCGGGTGGAGAGCGCACCTCATCACCCGCTCTGACACCATGGACCCGCTGAGCCCCAGGGCCACAGCGCACAGCACCTCTGTTCCACTGCGGTAACGTCCAGGGTCACACTGGTTGGGGTTGAAGGGTGCTTAAGGCTCATCCAGCCCCATGGACAGGGACCACTTCCACCGGAGCAGGATGCTCCCACCTGGCCTTGAGCACTGCCAGGGATGGGGCAGCCACAGCTTCTCTGGGCACCCTGTGCCAGCGCCTCAGCACCCTCACAGGGAAGAGCTTCTGCCTAAGAGCTCAGCTCAGTCTCCCCTCGGGCAGGTTCAAGCCATTCCCCTTGCCCTGTCCCTGCATCCCTTGTCCCAAGCCCCTCTCCAGGTTTCCTGCAGCCCCTTTAGGCACTGGAGCTGCTCTCAGTTCTCCCCTTCAGGAGCCTTCTCTTCTCCAGGCTGCCCCAGCCCAGCTCTCTCAGCCTGGCTCCTATGGGAGCTGCTCCAGCCCTCGCAGCATCTCCACGTCCCTCTGGTGCTGCTGCCCCAGCGCTGGATGCAGGATGCAGGTGGGGGTCTCACAGAGCGCAGCAGAGGGGCAGGATCCCCCCCCCCCCCCATGACCCCTCCTCATGCAGCCCAGCAAATGAGAGGTTTTCCAGGCTGCAAACACACGAAGCCTCTGGAGCATCCCTTGGGATAAGGGCGCACGCTGCATCACTGATCCCGGAGCACTGGGGTGATGGCAGGGATTAGGGGAATGCTTTGTATTATAAAGGATCCATTTGACCCTGTGGTCTCTGGAGCATCCCTTGGGATGAGGGCGCACGCTGCATCACTGATCCCGGAGCACCGAGGAACCGGGGTGATGGCAGGGATTAGGGGAATGCTTTGTATTATAAAGGATCCATTGACTCTGTGGTCCCACACCGGGACTTGCGCTTTCACATCCCCCAAAGTGCTCGTGAAGCAGCTTCCCTTGTACAGAGGGGTTGAGGGGCTGAGCCCTGAGGTGCAAAATGAAAGTGCAAGGGGAAGCTTGCAGCAGCTCAGGAAGGTTCCTCAGCACCAGCCTGCAAGGGCCGGGTTGAGCTCCAAGCAGGCAGGAAGCTTCTCCACCAAACGTGGAGCTGGTTCCCTCTTCTCCAAGCAGGAAGAAGAGTTTCCATCCCCAGTTTAAAGCCAGTGCTCCCCAGTGTGGGATGGGACGGAGGCTGCGCTCCCAGTGCTTGGGAAGGGAACTGGTCCTGGCGCAGGCAGCCGGAGCCCAGCGCTCCCACCTCAGCCCCGGGTTCTGCATCTGACCCGGGGAAGGGAAGGCTGTTCAGGCCGATAGAGCCGAAGGAAGCGCTGCTGAGCAGCAGATAAGGACAGCGCAGGGCTAAACCCTCCCCAGGCCAACGTCCGTGCCCGTTCCCCATCGCCTGACAGGAGCCGGAGCGCGTCCCTCTTCCAAACAGCCCCGAATCCCCCCCAGGAACCCGCGAAGGGAACAGCCCCTGAGTGGAGCGCGGCAGCCCCAGCACCCGGTGCACACCTGGCAGCAGCTGGATGGGGATGGGGATGGGGATGGGGATGGGGATGGGGATGGACCGGAGCGAGGCCTGACGCAGCCACCCCCTTGCACAGGAGAGCGAGGGGCCAGCGCTGGGCATCGGTCACCCTGGTTTGCCCAACACCCTCAGGGCATCCCTGCATGGACCCTGCACCGCTGGTCCCAGCCCTCCCTGCTCTCCCAGTCCTTAAAACCAGCCTAAACCTCCCCATGGGCCCCCCATTGCTGAGGGAGAAGGGGCATCTGGCTCTTACCTGCTTGCTGAAGGATGAAGGCAAGCGTCAGGCACCAAAACCCATCCATCAATGCAGGGCGCATGGAGGGGAGCGCTCTGCACCCAGCGTGTACGGCAGCGAGAGGGAGATGTGAGCCTCTGTGTGCGCACGGGCTCCCTTCCACAGCTGGATGGGTGGAGATAACTGCTTCACCCAATGGCTGGGACCACCAGTGCCGTCAGATGGAGACTGGGGCCAATGGGGATGAACATAGAGTAGAGAGGGCATAAACAGAGAACCCAGAGTGGTTTGGGTCGGAAGGCTCATCCAGACCCCTTCCACTGGAGCAGGGTGCTCCAAGCCCCTGTGTCCAAACGCCTTGAGCACTGCAACCACGGCATCTCCCTTCAACCCATCCCAGTGTCCCATCACCCTCACAGGGAAGAGCTTCTGCCTAAGAGCTCATCTCCATCTCCCCTCTGGCAGGTTCAAGCCATTCCCCCTGTCCTGTCCCTCCATCCTTTGTCCAAAGCCCCTCTCCAGGTTTCTTGTGGCCCCTTTTGGCACTGGAAGGAATCCCAATGAAAACTTCATCCGAAAAGCTCCATTTCCAAGCAAAGAGGAGTGTGGCATCTGGAACAAAGAGCAGCACCATGGCTCTGTGTGACAAACAGCCCAGCTTCCCTAAGGAACCAGCTTGGAGAGGTGCAGCATGGAACCCAGCACCCACAAGATGCCGGTGCCATGGACCAGTGTCACCAGGGCATGCTCCATGAGGGATGCTGTGACACTGCGGATGGGCTCCTCTTGTGGGCCAAGGCACAAAGAGACACCCAGGGCATGGGCCACCCTGGAACCCCCTTTGTCTCCTCCACCCATCCCCTGGGAGCCAGCATCTCTGTGGCACCGTGGCTCAATGCCACCCATTGGCACCATCAGCATTGTTGCTGGAGCCCTTCCCCACCCCGAGCATCCGATGTCTGCATGAAGCCACGTTTGGATGCTCCATCACAGGGTGCTCCATAGCCCTGCAAGGAGCAGCACCAGGCTAAATCCTGCACCAAGCACCAGGCACCAGGCACAGAATGAGGCCTTTACCCCCTTTTAGAGTCATAGAATCAGGGAATGGGTTGGGGTGGAAAGGACCTGAAGATCATCCAGTTCCAACCCCCTGCCATGGGCAGCGACACCTCCCACTGAACCAGGGCACCCAAGGCTCTGTCCAACCTGGCCTTGAACACTGCCAGGGATGGAGCATTCACAACCTCCCTGGGCACCCATTCCAGTGCCTCAGCACCCTCACAGTGAAGAACTCCCTCCTTAGATCCAATCTAAACTTCCCCTGTTTCAGTTTGAACCCATTACCCCTTGTCCTGTCACTACAGTCCCTAATGAAGAGTCCATCCCCAGCATCCCTATAGGCCCCCTTCAGACACTGGAAGCTGCTCTGAGGTCTCCACGCAGCTTCTCTCCTCCAGGCTGAACAGCCCCAGTGTTCTCAGCCTGGCTCCATACAGGAGGCACAAACCCGTGTCCCTCTGAGCTCCTCCCCGTGATCCTCCTGAAGCTGCTGCTGCTTTGGGGCCTTTTCCCTGGGAGCAGCTCAGCTGATGTGCTGCAGCAGTGACACACTCGCCCAGCAACCCTTTCCGAAGCCTTGGCCATGCCTTTATTCCCCTTTCCCTTGGTCAGCCCCGCTGGGAGAGCCGCGTTCCCTGGGGGTTGTCGAATAGCTCGGACTTGGAACGATTCGGGGTTATAACATCGGAGGATTTGGGGTTATAACATCGGACAATTTGGGGTTATAAAATTGGACAATTTGGGGTTATAAAATCAGATGATTTGGGGTTATAAAATCAGACGATTTGGGGTTATAAAATCAGATGATTTGGGGTTATAAAATCAGATGATTTGGGGTTATAAAATCAGACGATTTGGGGTTATAAAATTAGATGATTTGGGGTTATAAAATCAGATGATTTGGGGTTATAAAATCAGACGATTTGGGGTTATAAAATCAGACGATTTGGGGTTATAACATCGGATGATTTCGGGTTATAACATTGGATGATTTGGGGTTATAAAATCGGATTAGGAACGGTCTGACAGCCGCTGTCCTTCATCCAGGCCCCCTCCAGCATCCCCGGGGGATTTGTGCAGGGAATGTGGGCTCTGCTGTGGGCCAATGCCATGGGCAGGGGCTGCTTCGAGTGCAGCTTTCAATGGTCCATGGCAAACCCTGCCTGTCCCTGAGGCAGCAGTGGGAAAGGATGGGGATGGAGCGGTGGGGAGAGGCATTGCCCAAGCAGGACACGAGTGCACCCAGGGCGGGCGTCAGGGTGAGCTCAGGCTCCAGGGCATTGCAAAACCTCCTGCAGCAGGGACCTGGTGGTTTCAGAACTGCTTCTGGGACAGGAGTTGAGCAAGAAATCACTTCTGGTAACAGGAAAATCACTTCTGGTCACGGGAAAATCATTTCTGATCATACAAAAATCACTTCTTCTCATAGAAAAATCACTTCTGGTCATAGGAAAATCATTTCTGATCATAGAAAAATCATTTCTGGTCATAGAAAGATCATTTCTGATCATACAAAAATCACTTCTGGTCATAGAAAATTCACTTCTGGTCATAGGAAAACCATTTCTGGTCATAGGAAAATCATTTCTTGTCATAGAAAAATCATTTCTAGTCATAGAAAAATCATTTCTGATCATACAAAAAACACTTCTGGTCATAGGAAAAACATTTATGGTTATGGAAAAATCACTTTGGTCATAGAAAAAACATTTCTGGTCATAGAAAAAACATTTCTTGTCATAGAAAATTCATTTCTGGTCATACAAAAATCACTTCTTCTCATAGAAAAATCACTTCTGATCATTGGAAAATAATTTTTGATCGCAGCAAACTCACCGGGGTTGTCGCAAACTCACCGGGGTCACCGCCCGCTGCTGCCGAGCGCCCATCACCGGTACCACGGGCCTGGGGCTCCCTCTAGTGAAGCCGCCCGCAGGCCGAGGGGAAGCCCATGGGCAGAGGGATGAGGCTGGGATCCAAACCCGCTCCGCTTCCCGGGGGGGCTGCGCGGAGCTGCGGGGCTCGGTCCCGATGGCTGCATCCGGAGCCCTTCCACCCTCTCCCAGCGCTTCGGTGCCCTCCCTTAGCCATAACCCAAGGGGATTCGCTGCCTCGCTTCACTCAGCCCTGCTCTCTCTCTGCCACCCCTCCCCTCCACAGGGCAGCCCCCGCTCGGCTCCATGCAGGGGGCTTTGCCCCGGTCCCCAGGGGTGAGCAGGGTTGCACCAAGCCAGGGATGCGAGGTCGGTGTCCGAGGGGCCGAGGCTCAGGCCGTGGGCATCATCACGCAGGCATAAACCGTGGTGGGCTCCTTGCTGGGGCTCTGCAGCCAGAAGCAGGGAAGCAAAAGAGGGGCCTGAGCTGGGGGGAGATGTGGGTGACCCCATGGGGAAGAACCACCCTTACCTGTACGAGGCGGCCCTGCAGGGTGTGGGGCTGTGCCGGGGGGGCCCGTGGGGCACAAGGGGCCGTGTCCAAGGGCTGGCTGGTGCCTGCGGGGTAGTCGGTGATGCAGGAGGGGTGCTCGGTGATGGAGGCTCCTTTCTGCCTCTGCACAGAGAGCAAAGGGTGAGCAGCAGCACAGAGCTCACCATGGGGACCCTTCCCTCCCTCTCCCCTCCATGCACCCACAGCCTCCTCCCCACTCTGTGCTGGGTAGCACTTGGGGAGCAGTGGGTCCAACCCCATGGTCTGGCCCCCAAAGCCACCCTGGGGCTGCAGCACCCAACCTCATTCCCAGCAGTTCCTGGATTAACGGGGCCCAGGCTGACTCCTGGGATGGCAGAAGCCTCCCCCATCCTCTCCTTGCCCCGTTGCAGGGCTGCGTTAGCACCACCCATAGGGTGCTGCAGCCCAACAAAGTGAGCTGGGGGCTTTGGGTGCTGCTCCCCACACAAGGAGCCCCATCAGGGTGATGCCCGTGCCCTCCATAGGCTGCAGCACCGGATCCCACCCCAAGGAGCAGTGGCCGTGGCTCACCTGCCTCCGCTGCACCTGGGAGTAGATGGTGTGCACGGCGCTGTCCTCGGGCAGGGCTGAGCCCTCCCGCCCGCCTGCAGGGGATGAGGGGGTCACTGAGCAGGGTTCAGGGGGGCCCTGGGGTCACAGCCCTGCTCCTGCGCCCCAAGAGCCCTTCGGGAAGGGATCCAGCCTCAGATCCCATCCGCAGGGCAGGTTCAAGCCATTCCCCGTGCCCGGCCCCTCTCCTGCAGCCCCTCCAGGCACTGGAGCTGCTCCCCCTAGAACCACAGAACCATGGAATGGGTTGGGGTGGGAAGCACCTTAAGATCATCCAGTTCCAACCCCTGCTGTGGGCAGTGACGCCCTTAAGGACCCTTCACTGTGCTCCTCCCCAAGGACCAGGATGCCCTCAGAATCACAGAACCAACCAGGCTGGAAAAGATGTTTAGGATCGAGTCCACCCCTTCCCAAGTCCCGCACTAACCCCGGACACCGCAGATCCACAGGGATCCACTCCTTGGTGTGCTCTTCTGGGGGCTGATCCTGCTCATCCCAACCATGGACCCTCAGCCACCCCCAGCACCTCCATCACAGCACTCACCACCGGGCTTGGCCACACAGGCACCCACCAGGACCCCGATGAGCATCACTGCACCCACGGGCACCAGCACCAGGAGCCCCAGCCCGGCACTGCCTGGAATGGAGTGGGGAGAGAGGGGATGGGATCAGCCCCGGCCCCACGGTCACCCAGGGCCAAGCAGGATATGCTGCTAAAAGCCCGTTTTTCACCTCGTTTTGGACGGTTTAATTTGGTAGAACAGGAAACAAGGGGCAGGAAATGCTTCTCTGGGGCAGAGCATCCTTTATCACCTCCAGACTGCACCGAGCAGCAAAGAGCCTGCTGCAGGTGCCACCGGGGCCAGATAAAGCCCTCAGGATGCTCCCAATGCCTGTGGGGAGGCAGCCCCTTGGCTCTGCGGGGTGTAAAGGCCGTGGGGCAGAGCTCTGCAGCCCCAGCCTTGCTCTTGGGCCACCGATGGTCACATCCCACAGGGGTGCGGGGGGCTTTGGGGCACAGAGGGCTGAGGATCGAGCCCCAGGTGCCCCGGGAACGCCTCGCGTCAGCATCTCCCCCTTGGAAGCGCTTTTCCCATGGGGCTGTGACAGGAGGGCCCCTTCGGGTCCCCAGGGAAGGGGCACCCAGAGCACAGCCCGGGCCTGGGGAGTCCCCTCCATCGCAAGGAAACCCCCATGGGAGGCAGCGGGACTCAGCCCCCAGAGCCCCACAGGGGGAACCTGCCCTAACCCTAACCCCAACCCTAACCCCAGGGCCCCGCAGCCTCCGGCCCTGAGCACCGGTGCTGGGGACCTCCCCCTCCGGCCTCTTCTGAAGAGCCCCTGGCTCGCAAAGGCTCCTTTGGGGCTGCCTGAGGCAGCTTGAGAGAGGCATGGACTGGGGTGGGGTGGAAAGGACCCGGAGAGCATCCAGTTCCAATGGGCAGGGACACCTCGCACTGAAGTGTGCTACCCAAGGCCTCATCCAACCTGGCCTTGAGCACTGCCAGGGATGGAGCATTCACAGCCTCCCTGGGCACCCATTCCAGTGCCTCAGCACCCTCACAGTAATGACCTCCCTCCTTATATCCAATCTAAACTTCTCCTGTTTCAGTTTTACCCCATTACCCCTTGTCCTGTCACTGCAGTCCCTAATGAAGAGTCCCTCCCCAGCATCCCTATAGGCCCCCTTCAGACCCTGGAAGCTGCTCTGAGGTCTCCACGCAGCTTCTCTTCTCCAGGCTGAACAGCCCCAACTTTCTCAGCCTGGCTCCATACAGGAGCTGCTCCAGCCCCTGAGCATCCTCGTGGCCTCCTCTGGACTTGTTCCAACAGAGCAGGGTCAGGAGCAGGAGCAGGAGGGAGCTGGGCCAGGGACTCACCCGCTTGCTCCCGGCTGCACTGGGAGGAGCTGAAGGTGCGGCTGTGGGTGCTGACGGGGTTGCTGGCGGTGCAGGAGCAGGAGATGCTGGAGCTGTGCAGGGGGAAGGCGAGGGGCAGGAGGCTGCCGTTGCGGGAGCAGGGCCCCGAGGTGCCGCCGGTGCCCGCACTGCCCCAGCTGTAGGAGATGCTGTCCCCTCGCTCTGCGGTGCAGTTGAGGGTGATGCTGCAGGTGCCATTGGCCAGCACCCAGCTGAGGATCTGGATGCTGGGGGCAGACACAGGCTCTGGAGAGAGGGAGGGAAGAGGCGGTTGCTGTGCCTGGGAGACCCAAATGGATCTAATTCCATCGGGTCCGGTCCAAGCTGCGAAGAGCATCACAGAGGGAGATGCTCGGCATGGACCCGGATGCTCCTGGCAGGATGCAGAGAGGGTCCTGTGCTCACTGCAGCACCTCAGCATCATAGAATCATAGAATAGTGTGGGTTGGAAAGGACCTTAACATCATCGAGTTCCAACCCCCTGCCATGGGCAGGGACACCTCGCTCTAAACCATATTACCCAAGGCCTCATCCAACCTGGCCTTGAGCACTGCCAGGGATGGAGCATTCACAACCTCCCTGGGCACCCATTCCAGTGCCTCAGCACCCTCACAGTGAAGAACTCCCTCCTTAGATCCAATCTAAACTTCCCCTGTTCCAGTTTTACCCCATTACCCCTTGTCCTGTCACTACAGTCCCTAATGAAGAGCCCCCATCAGGGTGAGCATCTCCCCCCGCCTCGCCCCCTCTCCCATCACCACCAGAGCCCCTGTGCTCACCATAGACCTCCAGCTGAATGCGCCAGACCTCCTCCTCGGGCCCCTTGCTCACTGTGTACTCGTAGAGCTGCCCGTCCTGCCGGCTCGTGTTGAGGATCTCCAGCGAGAAGTCCAGGGCATGGAACCGGGCCCGCTCCCGCACGTAGTTGGTGTAGTTCCCATCCCTGTACTGGAGCAGCACCAGCTTCCGCTGCGGGTCCTCGGTGTCCCGCTTCCACACGGCCGCCCCGAAGAGCAGGGTGAGGGCCCGCAGCTCCGCGGGCACCCGCAGCCTCGTCGCCGTCCCCACCGTGCCCAGCACCGTTTCCACCACCCCATGGACCCTGCCTGGGGGCAGAGGGGAGAGAAGGGATGGGGCGGGCAGGGGGATCAGGGGCAGGGGTATCAGGGGGGGAAGGAGCTCAGAGCTCATCCGGTCCAACCATTGCATCACTGCCCCATGGCCCCTGCCCTGTTCCAATGCTGAGCATCCTTTGGGGCAGGAATTGGTCCTCAGCTCCATCCAACCCTGCCCTGGTGCAGCTTGAGGCCAGTTCCTCTTGTCCCATCCCTGGTTCCTTGGGAGCAGAGCCCAGCCCCTCCTGGCTCCATCCTCCTGGCAGGAGCCATCAGGTCCCCCCTGAGCCTTCCCATAGAACCATGGAATGGGTTGGGGTGGAAAGGACCTCGAGATCATCCAGTTCCAACCCCTGCCATGGGCACGGACACCTCCACTAAACCAGGGCACCCAAGGCTCTGTCCAACCTGGCCTTGACCTGAACCCCCCAGGTCCCTCAGCCCTCAGCAGTGCAGGTCCAGGGCTCAGAGGGGCCGCGCTGCCTTCCTCTGCTCCTCCTCCTCTCTCCTGCTTGAGGTGCTCCCAGGAGCATCTCTTGGTTGCCATGGAAACGCGCTCTGCAGGAGAGGGGTGCAGGCGCCTCCCATCCCAACCCGCTGCATCCCATGCAGAGCCGCTGTTCCCGGCCCGCAGGGATTCCCATTCCCCCCCTCCTGCACAAACTGGTTTGTGTGGGGAGGAAAGAGCGTGGGGGAGCACCAGCTCAGCAGCGTCACCCCCGTACCCCCCACCACATCCTTCCATTGGGGTGAGGCTGTGTCCAGAGTGGAAAAGAGAGGAATTACCCCAGGGACCCCCCTCAAGCAAGTGGGATCCCCTCCTATGGCACAGAACACGGGGCTTGGGCTGTCCCTGCGGCTCCATCTCCGCACCAGGCTCAGCCATGGCCCCACAGAGCCCTCCCCATGGGGTTGGAGGAGGGGTGTGAAGAGGGATGGACCCAGCCATGCCCATAGACAGGGGATGGAGGCGCTTGGTGCAGAGCAGCTCCCACAGCGGGACTGGGCTCATGGGGCTCTTGCTGGGCTGGGGAGGATGAAACCCCCCGGGGTTACCCAAGGCAGGGACCCCGGTACCCGTGAGCCAGCGGAGGGGAAAACCCGGCTCTGTCCTGGACAAAGCCCTTGTTGTGCAGGCAGGGATCACACAGCAGCAGGGGCAGAGGGCTCAGGGAACCCTGGAATGGGCTGGGATGGGAAGGAGCTCAAGATCATGGGGCCACGGCAGGGATGGCTCACACAAGAGATCAGCTCCTGTCGTGGGGCTGGGGGGACACAGTGCCCCTGGTCCAGATGGTCCCATTCATCCAGGACACCGCCATCCCCAGGACACCATCATCCCTAGGGAACCATCAACCCCAGGCCTCCATCAACCCCAAGCCTCCATCATCCCCAGGCCTCCATAATCCCCAGGATGCCATCACCCTAGGACACCATCATCCCTAGGACGCCATCATCCCTAGAACGCCATCATCCCTAGGGCACCATCATCCCTAGGGCATCATCATCCCTAGGACATCATCATCCCTAGGAAACCATCATCCCTAGGGCACCATCATCCCTAGGGCATCATCATCCCTAGGACACCATCATCCCTAGGGCATCATCATCCCTAGGACACCATCATTCCTAGGACATCATCACCCCTAGGACGCCATCATCCCTAGGGCATCATCATCCCTAGGACACCATCATTCCTAGGACGCCATCATCCCTAGGGCACCATCATCCCTAGGGCACCATCATCCCTAGGATGCCATCATCCCTAGGGCACCATCATCCCTAGATCACCATCATCCCTAGGGCACCATCATCCCTAGGGCACCATCATCCCTAGGGCACCATCATCCCTAGGACACCATCATCCCTAGGACACCATCATCCCTAGGACACCATCATCCCTAGGGCATCATCATCCCTAGGGCACCATCATCCCTAGGACATCATCATCCCTAGGGCACCATCATCCCTAGGACACCATCATCCCTAGGACGCCATCATCCCTAGGGCACCATCATCCCTAGGACATCATCATCCCTAGGGCACCATCATCCCTAGGGCACCATCATCCCTAGGGCACCATCATCCCTAGGACATCATCATCCTAGGACATCATCATCCCTAGGGCATCATCATCCCTAGGGCACCATCATCCCTAGGACACCATCATCCCTAGGACATCATCATCCCTAGGACACCATCATCCCTAGGACACCATCATCCCTAGGGCATCATCATCCCTAGGACACCATCATCCCTAGGACACCATCATCCCTAGGGCATCATCATCCCTAGGACACCATCATCCCTAGGACACCATCATCCCTAGGGCATCATCATCCCTAGGACACCATCATCCCTAGGACACCATCATCCCTAGGGCATCATCATCCCTAGGACATCATCATCCCTAGGACACCATCATCCCTAGGGCATCATCATCCCTAGGGCACCATCATCCCTAGGACACCATCATCCCTAGGGCATCATCATCCCTAGGACACCATCATCCCTAGGGCACCATCATCCCTAGGACACCATCATCCCTAGGGAACCATCATCCCTAGGACACCATCATCCCTAGGGCACCATCATCCCTAGGACATCATCATCCTAGGACATCATCATCCCTAGGACACCATCATCCCTAGGGCACCATCATCCCTAGGACACCATCATCCCTAGGACGCCATCATCCCTAGGGCACCATCATCCCTAGGACATCATCATCCCTAGGACATCATCATCCTAGGACATCATCATCCCTAGGACATCATCATCCCTAGGGCACCATCATCCCTAGGACACCATCATCCCTAGGACATCATCATCCTAGGACATCATCATCTCTAGGACACCATCATCCCTAGGGCACCATCATCCCTAGGACATCATCATCCTAGGACATCATCATCCCTAGGACACCATCATCCCTAGGGCACCATCATCCCTAGGACACCATCATCCCTAGGACGCCATCATCCCTAGGGCACCATCATCCCTAGGACATCATCATCCCTAGGACATCATCATCCTAGGACATCATCATCCCTAGGACATCATCATCCCTAGGGCACCATCATCCCTAGGACATCATCATCCCTAGGACATCATCATCCTAGGACATCATCATCCCTAGGACATCATCATCCCTAGGGCACCATCATCCCTAGGACACCATCATCCCTAGGACGCCATCATCCCTAGGGCACCATCATCCCTAGGACATCATCATCCCTAGGGCACCATCATCCCTAGGGCACCATCATCCCTAGGGCACCATCATCCCTAGGACATCATCATCCTAGGACATCATCATCCCTAGGGCATCATCATCCCTAGGGCACCATCATCCCTAGGACACCATCATCCCTAGGGAACCATCATCCTAGGACATCATCATCCCTAGGAAACCATCATCCTTAGGGCACCATCACCCCTAGGGCACCATCATCCCTAGGACACCATCATCCCTAGGGCACCATCATCCCTAGGACACCATCAACCCCAAGCCTCCATCATCCCCAGGCCTCCATAATCCCCAGGATGCCATCACCCTAGGACACCATTCACGCCCAACCAGAGCTCTCCAAGCACCCAGAAACATCCAAATTACCCCACTGCCAGTCCCTTTCCACTCCCTTTCCACACCATTCCTTGCTTGGGGACCTTCTCCCAGCCCACTGGCACCTCTTGAACTGGGACCCTCCATAGCACAGAGTGAAACAAGCCCCAGTTCATCTTCATCCTGCGCACACCAGCTCAGAGCTGGTGCTGCCGTGCCACCAACACACCCCATAGGGCCCCTGGACAGCAACGGTGAGCACCGTGTCCATCAACATCCTCTCTTCATCATCTGTCATTCCCTCCTCCTTCAGCCTGACCAGTGCTAGAAGGGATGCATCCCCTAACAGCCTCTACAATGGATGCATCCCCTAACAGCCTCTACAATGGATGCATCCCCTAACAGCCTCTACAATGGATGCATCCCCTAACAGCCTCTACAATGGATGCATCCCCTAACAGCCTCTACAATGGATGCATCCCCTAACAGCCTCTATAATGGATGCATCCCCTAACAGCCTCTATAATGGATGCATCCCTAACAGCCTCTACAATGGATGCATCCCCTAACAGCCTCTATAACGGATGCATCCCCTAACAGCCTCTACAATGGATGCATCCCTAACAGCCTCTACAATGGATGCATCCCTAACCAACAGCCTCTATAACGGATGCATCCCCTAACAGCCTCTACAATGGATGCATCCCTAACAGCCTCTACAATGGATGCATCCCTAACCAACAGCCTCTATAACGGATGCACCACACACCCAGCTTGGCATTGTGAGCCATTTACTTCCTATAGGGATATTTCTGCTGGATCTGCCCGGTGCGCAGCTCAGGATTTCCAAACCTTCATAGGGAAAATCCTCAAGCAATCCCAAGGGAATATTTCAGGAAGAGATAAACAGAAAACCCCAGACATCAAACCCCATCCATACCCCAGACATCAAACCCCATACACACAAACCCCATCCATCCATACCCCATCCATCCAACCCCATCCATCCAACCCCATCCATCCAACCGCATCCATCCATACCCATTCCATCTGTACCCCATCCATCCATACCCCATCCATCCATACCCATTCCACCTGTACCCCATCCATCCATACCCCATCCATCAATACCCATTCCATCTGTACCCCATCCATCCATACCCCATCCCACCCCATCCATCCATACCCCATCCATCCCACCCCCTCCATCCGTACCCCCAGTGCAGCCCAGTGTCACCAGCAGGCAGACCCGCAGAGCCCAGCCCATGCCTCTGACCCCGACGCAGGTTGATCTCCGCGAGCCCCTGCCACGGGCCCCGTGCTTCCTGTTTGGGGTGAAAACGGCTTCTTTTTGTCACCAGTGGAAAGTATTCAAAGCAGAACTGGGAGGGCAACACCGGAGGCAGGGCTGAGGGAGGAAGCAGAGCAATGCAGCCAGCAGCATCCTCCGGCATCTGGGTACCAGAGCTGTGGGGCAGAGCCTGCATCCCAGCACTGAGAGCATCTGGGTACCAGAGCATTGGGGCAGAGCCTGCATCCCAGCAATGAGAGCATCTGGGTACCAGAGCAGTGGGGCAGAGCCTGCATCCCAGCATTGAGAGCATCTGGGTACCAGAGCTGTGGGGCAGAGCCTGCATCCCAGCAATGAGAGCATCTGGGTACCAGAGCTGTGGGGCAGAGCCTGCATCCCAGCATTGAGAGCATCTGGGTACCAGAGCTGTGGGGCAGAGCCTGCATCCCAGCACTGAGAGCATCTGGGTACCAGAGCTGTGGGGCAGAGCCTGCATCCCAGCACTGAGAGCATCTGGTACCAGAGCTGTGGGGCAGAGCCTGCATCCCAGCAATGAGAGCATCTGGGTACCAGAGCAGTGGGGCAGAGCCTGCATCCCAGCAATGAGAGCATCTGGGTACCGGAGCTGTGGGGCAGAGCCTGCATCCCAGCACTGAGAGCATCTGGGTACCAGAGCTGTGGGGCAGAGCCTGCATCCCAGCACTGAGAGCATCTGGGTACCAGAGCTGTGGGGCAGAGCCTGCATCCCAGCAATGAGAGCATCTGGGTACCGGAGCTGTGGGGCAGAGCCTGCATCCCAGCATTGAGAGCATCTGGGTACCAGAGCTGTGGGGCAGAGCCTGCATCCCAGCACTGAGAGCATCTGGGTACCAGAGCTGTGGGGCAGAGCCTGCATCCCAGCACTGAGAGCATCTGGGTACCAGAGCAGTGGGACAGAGCCTGCATCCCAGCACTGAGAGCATCTGGGTACCAGAGCATTGGGGCAGAGCCTGCATCCCAGCAATGAGAGCATCTGGGTACCAGAGCAGTGGGGCAGAGCCTGCATCCCAGCATTGAGAGCATCTGGGTACCAGAGCTGTGGGGCAGAGCCTGCATCCCAGCAATGAGAGCATCTGGGTACCAGAGCATGGGCAGAGCCTGCATCCCAGCAATGAGAGCATCTGGTACCAGAGCAGTGGGCAGAGCCTGCATCCCAGCACTGAGAGCATCTGGGTACCAGAGCTGTGGGGCAGAGCCTGCATCCCAGCACTGAGAGCATCTGGGTACCAGAGCTGTGGGGCAGAGCCTGCATCCCAGCACTGAGAGCATCTGGGTACCAGAGCTGTGGGGCAGAGCCTGCATCCCAGCACTGAGAGCATCTGGGTACCAGAGCTGTGGGGCAGAGCCTGCATCCCAGCACTGAGAGCATCTGGGTACCAGAGCTGTGGGGCAGAGCCTGCATCCCAGCACTGAGAGCATCTGGGTACCAGAGCTGTGGGGCAGAGCCTGCATCCCAGCACTGAGAGCATCTGGGTACCAGAGCTGTGGGGCAGAGCCTGCATCCCAGCATTGAGAGCATCTGGGTACCGGAGCTGTGGGGCAGAGCCTGCATCCCAGCATTGAGAGCATCTGGGTACCAGAGCTGTGGGGCAGAGCCTGCATCCCAGCAATGAGAGCATCTGGGTACCAGAGCTGTGGGGCAGAGCCTGCATCCCAGCACTGAGAGCATCTGGGTACCAGAGCTGTGGGGCAGAGCCTGCATCCCAGCACTGAGAGCATCTGGGTACCAGAGCTGTGGGGCAGAGCCTGCATCCTTTTTTTTGTCCTTTTTCAGGACAAATCCCCCTTTTTAGGCCCCCAAATGCACTTTTTTGGGTCAAGTTCCCACCTTTTTGGTCCAAATCCTCCCTTTTGGGGCCAGAATCTCCTTTTGAGGATTCCAGTTTTCCAGTTTTGGGCTCAATTCCTCCTTTTTGGGCCCAAATTCCTCTTTTTTAGCACCCAATTCCTCCAATTTGGGGCAAAATCCCTGCTTTTTAACTCCAAAATTCCTCTTTCAGGCCGAATTTCTCCAGGTTTTGGTCAAATTCCTCCCATTTGGGTCAAATTCCTCCTGTTTGGGTCAAATTCTTCCTGTTTGGGTCAAATTCTTCCTTTTCAGGTCCAAAATCTGTCTGGAGAGGCTGAAATTCCCCAAATTCCAGCCTTTAGCACCCAGTTCCTCCAATTTGGGGCCAAAATCCACCTTTTTAACCCCAAAATTCCTCTTTTCAGGCCAAATTAATCCAGGTTTTGGTCAAATTCCTCCCGTTTGGGTCAAATTCTTCCTTTTTCGGTCCAAAATCTATCTCAAGGGACTGAAATTTCCCAAATTCCACCCAAATTCCTCCTTTTAAAGCCCAAATTCCTCCTTTTTAGCACCCAATTCCTCCAATTTTGGGCCAAAACCCTGCTTTTTAACCCCAAAATTCCTCTTTTCAGGCCAAATTCCTCCAGTTTTGGGTCAAATTCCTCCTGTTTGGGTCAAATTCCTCCTTTTTAGGGTCAAAATCTGTCTCAGGGGACTGAAATTTCCCAAATTCCACCCAAATTCCTCCTTTTAAAGCCCAAATTCCTCCTTTTTAGCACCCGATTCCTCCCATTTTGGGCCAAAACTCTCCTTTTTAACCCCAAAATTCCTCTTTTCAGACCAAATTCCTCGGGTTTTGCATCAAATTCCTCGGGTTTTAGGTCAAATTCCTCCAGTTTTGGGTCAAATTCCTCCAGTTTTGGGTCAAATTCCTCCTTTTTAGGGCCAGAATCTGTCTGCAGAGGCTGAAATTCCCCAAATTCCCCCGGTTTAGCGCTGATTTGGGGATGAATTCCACATTTTTAGGAGCAAAAATGTCCCCTCCCCCCCCCTTCCACCCCCCCTCCCCCCCCCGCCCCCTCCCCCCCCCGTGGGAATGTGTCACCTCTTGCAGGAACAAAGTGGGTCCCACGTGTGGGGCCGGGTGCCAGGGCCCTGCCCCATAGCGCGGCCCCACAGCGGCGCCAGGCCGGGGGGGAGGGGGAGATAACGGGGCCTGATAGAGGGGCCGCCTGTCAGCGCCCCACAAGTGCCGGGACAGGAGCCAGGCCCACGGCGCCTGCCCCATAGAGGGCCCCCCCCCACCATGGGAAGCAGGGGTTCTGCCCCATAGATGGGCCCTACATATGGGGACCCCCATGTCCTGCCCCATAGAGGCTACAGAGGGAGGGGAAATGGGGGTTCTGCCCCCTAGATGCTCCCCACAGACTGCAGACCCATTTGTCTTCCCCATAGATCGACCCCACACATGGGGATCCTCTTCTCCTGCCCTATAGATGCCCCATAGCAACGGTCATGGGGGTTCTGCCCCATAGAAGCCCCCCCCCAGATTACAGACCCATTTGTCCGGCCCCATAGATGGGCCCCACACATGGGGACCCCCATGTCCTGCCCCATAGAGGCAACAGAGGGGGGGGAAAGGGGTTTCTGCTTCATAGATGCTCCCCTACAGACTGCAGACCCCCATGTCCTGCCCTATAGATGCCCCACAGGGAGGGGACATAGGGGTTCAGCCCCATAGAGGCACCACACAGACAGAACCCCATTGTCCTGCCTCATAGATGGGCCCCACACATGGGGACCCCCATGTCCTGCCCCATAGAGGCACCACAAGGAGGGAAATTGGGGGTTCTGCCCCATAGATGCCCCCCCACAGACTGCAGACCCACTTGTCCTGCCCCATGGATGAGCCCCCCACATGGGGACCCCCATGTCCTGCCCTATAGATGCCCCATAGCAACGGTCATGGGGGTTCTGTCCCATAGATGCCCCCCCACAGACTGCAGACCCACTTGTTCTGCCCCATAGATGGGCCCCACACAGGAGGACCCCCATGTCCTGCCCCATAGACGCCCCACAGGGAGGGGACATGGGGCTTCTGCCCCATAGATGCCCACACTCACCAAATCCACACATCCTGCCCCATAGACACCCCCCACATCCCACCCCTACAATGGGTTTGGGTAGCGCTTCCTCTGCCCCATAGCTCTGCCCCATTGCCCTTCCCCATAGCTCAGCCATGGGGCAGGGGTTAGGGCTGCCCTTCCCCCCCTCTCCTCCCACCCCCCCCGCTCCCCCCCCAGGAATTCGCCCTCCCCCCAGCTCTGCCCCATATAAAGGCCGATGGGCAGCGGAGGCGGCAGAGCTGCTGCTGTGGGGCAGAGAGAGGTTGGGGGGCACGGGATGGGGAGGGGGGGATCTATGGGGCATGGGGGGGTATGGGGTGCACACGGGGGTATGGGGTGCACAGGGTGGGCTATGGGGCACACAGGGGGCTATGGGGCACAGGGGGATTTTGTGTGGCACAGGGTCTATGGGGCAGAGGGGATCTATGGGGCACATGGATCTGTGGGGCCTTGGGGCACAGGGGTTCTATGGGGCGCACAGGGGGTTTATTGGATGCCAAGAGCTCTGGGGCACAGGGGGGATGTGGGGTGGGCAGGGAGCTATGGGGCGTGGGGATCTGTGGGGGCTAAGTGGGGTCTGTGCGGGATGTGGGGCACAGAATCTATGGGGCACACGGGGTTATGGGGCATGGAGGGCTATGGGTTGCACAGGACGGTTCTGGAGCACAGGAATCCATGGGGCTCAGGGGATCTAAGGGGTACCAGGATCTGTGGGACACACGGGGGGGATGTGGGGCACGTGGTAGCTGTGGGGTGCAGGAATCTATGGGGCACAGAGGGGGAACTGTGGGGCATAGAGATCTATGGGGCACAAAGCGGGGCTTTTGGGGTGTACGGGGTATGGGCTATGGGGCACCTATGGAGCAGCCTATATGGGGTTATGTGGCACAGGATCTATGGGGCACACAGGGCACTATGGGGGAACCAGGGAGGCTGTGGGGGCCACAAGATATGGGGCTCTGGGGGGGGCGATGGGGATTAGGGATCTATGGGGCACAGGGGGTGTAGCTACAGATATGTCCCTATAGGACGGGGGTGCAATGGGGTGCAGGGATCTATAGGGTGCCAGGGCTCTATAGGGCCTGTGGGGCAGCCCTTCACTCTCACCCCGCCCCCCCAGCTTCCTCTATCTTTACACTTCAGACCCACTGATCCCAGGTGAGTGCAGTGCCGTGGGGCAGCAGTGGGGCAGCCGTGGGGCAGGGCACTGGAGGGGGAGGGGAGGTGTCGCTACTGGCTCTGCCATTCACTATGGGGCCAGGTGTGTCTCTGTGCCCCATGGCTATGGGTCAGCCCCACACTGACCACGTTCACTATGGGTCAGGATGTGGCTCTGGCCCCATGGCTATGGCTCTCTATGGGTCTCTATGGGTCTCTGTGGGTCAGCCCCACACTGACCCCGCCCGCTATGCTCAGGATGTGGCTCTGGCCCCATGCTATGGTTCGCTATGGGTCAGGATGTGGCTCTGGCCCCATGGCTATGGGTCTCTATGGGTCTCTATGGGTCTCTATGGGTCTCTATGGGTCGCTATGGGTCTCTATGGGTCTCTATGGGTCGCTATGGGTCAGCCCCACACTGACCCCGCCCGCTATGGCCCAGGATGGCCGAGGCGGTGCTGGCGGCGCTGGGCGCGGCCGCCCCGTTCCTGCGCCCGTCGGAGGCGGAGCGCGTGGCGGCCCAGACCCGCCCCTTCGAGCCGCGCGCGGAGTGCTTCGTGCCCCACCCCCAACACGAGTTCGTGCGCGGACGAATCACGGAGCGGCGCGGAGCTGACGTCATCGTGACCACGGAGCTGGGGGAGGTGGGCGGGGCCAAACGGGGGCGGGGTCAAGGGGGGCGCGGTCAAGGGGGCGGTTACATGGGGCCAAAGGGGCGGGGTTAAATGGGAGTCAAAGGGGGTGGGGCTATGGGAGGGGTTGAGGGTTTGGGGGTTCAAAGGGGGAGATGAGGCAGGCATTCAACCCAATGAAGACCCCCCCAACCCATTGAAGAACCCCCCAACCCATTAAGATCCCCCAACCCATTGAAGACCCCCCCAACCTATTGAAGACCCCCAACCCATTGAAGACCCCCAACCCATTGAAGATCCCCCAACCCAATGAAGACCCCCCCAACCCATTAAAGATTCCCAACCCATTGAAGACCCCCCAACCCATTGAAGACTTCCCAACCCAATTAAGACCCCCCAACCCAATGTAGACCCGCCCAACCCATTGAAGTTCCCCCAACCCATTAAAGACCCCCCCAACCCATTAAAGATTCCCCAACCCATTGAAGATCCCCCAACCCAATGAAGACCCCCCCAACCCATTAAAGATTCCCCAACCCATTGAAGACCCCCCAACCCATTAAAGACCCCCCCAACCCATTAAAGATTCCCAACCCAATTAAGACCCCCCAACCCAATGTAGACCCGCCCAACCCATTGAAGATCCCCCAACCCATTGAAGACCCCCCCAACCGAATCAAGTTCCCCCAACCCATTGAAGACCCCCCAACCCATTAAGATCCCCCAACCCATTAAGACCCCCCCAACCCATTGAGGACCCCCCCCAACCCATTGAAGACCCCCAACCCATTCAAGACCCCCCCACCCCACTGGAGACCCCCCACCCATCATCCCCCCCATAACCCCCTCCCACCCCCCCTCCAGACGGTGACCGTGAAGGAGGCCGACGTGCACCCCCAGAACCCCCCCAAGTTCGACAAGATGGAGGACATGGCCATGCTGACCTTCCTGCACGAGCCCGCCGTCCTCTTCAACCTCAAGGAGCGCTACGCGGCCTGGATGATCTACGTGAGCAGCGCCCCCATGGGGCACCCAGGGCCCGGGTGTCCCCCCCCTCCATGGGGTGCCCCTGACCCCCTTCTCCCCCCCCCCCAGACCTACTCCGGGCTCTTCTGCGTCACCGTCAACCCCTACAAGTGGTTGCCCGTCTACAACGCCGAGGTGGTGGCCGCCTACCGGGGCAAGAAGCGGAGCGAGGCCCCCCCCCACATCTTCTCCATCTCTGACAACGCCTACCAGTACATGCTGACGGGTGAGCACCTCCCCGCGCCCCACGTGGGGGTCCAGCCCCATAAGTGGGCGATGGGAGCCCATTGAGCCCACAAACACCCCCCCATGGTGGAGGATGAAGAACCTCATCCATCACCTCTGTTTCTCTTCTCCACCAGACCGCGAGAACCAATCCATCCTCATCACGTAAGGCCACGCCCCCCTCCCAAAGGGCCAATGGGGAAGCTCGTTCCTCACCGTGCCCCCCCATTGTCCCCAGCGGAGAATCCGGCGCGGGGAAGACGGTCAACACCAAGAGGGTCATCCAGTACTTCGCCAGCATCGCCGCCATCGGCGACCGCAAGAAGGAGGCAACCAACAGCAGCAAGGTGGGGCCTCACTGGGCCATGGGGGTCGGCCATGGGGTGGTGTCAGACCCCTTGGGACGCTGTCCTGCCCCATAGGGCACCCTGGAGGACCAGATCATCCAGGCCAACCCGGCGCTGGAGGCCTTCGGCAATGCCAAGACCGTTCGCAACGACAACTCCTCGCGCTTCGTGAGTGACCTGGGGGGTGTGGGGTGGGGTGGGGGGGGGGTGGAGCAGGGGACAGGGCCTCAAGGAGGAGCTTCTTCCCCAGGGGAAGTTCATCCGGATCCACTTCGGGGCCACCGGGAAGCTGGCGTCGGCGGACATTGAGACCTGTGCGTGGTGGGGTCCATCCCCTGGTGTCCTCCTGCAGGGCCCCGTGCCCCCCTCCATCTCCTTCACCTCCATCTCCTTCACCTCCATCTCCTTCATCCCCATCTCCTTCACCTCCATCTCCTTCACCTCCATCTCCTTCACCTCCATCTCCTTCACCTCCATCCCCTTCACCTCCATCTCCTTCACCTCCATCACTTTCATCTCCATCTCCTTCATCTCCATCTCTTTGTGTCCTTCAACTCCTTGTGTCACCTCCATCTCCTGGTGTCCTCCTTCATCTCTTCATCCATCCATCTGACCCTCCACCTCCATCTCATCATGTCTCCATCTATATCCATCTCCATCCCCACCTCCTCATCCATGCCTCCATCTATATCCATCTCCATCCCCATCTCCTTATCCATGCCTCCATCCATCTAGTGTCTCCATCCATCTCCTCATCCATCCAACCACCTCCTCATCCATCTGACCCTCCATCTCCTCATCCCACCATCCATCTTCCCATGTCTCCATCCACCTGACCCTCCATCTCCATCCCCATCCCATCCCCACCTCCATCCCAACCTCCATCCATGTCTCCATCCATCTCCACCTCCTTGTCCCACCACCCACCTTCTCTCTCCTCCCCCTGCCCCAGACCTCCTGGAGAAGTCCCGTGTCATCTTCCAGCTGAAGGCTGAGAGGAACTACCACATCTTCTACCAGATCCTCTCCAACAAGAAGCCGGAGCTTCTGGGTGAGCCTGGGGACACCTTGGCCTTATGGAGACCCTATGGTGGTACCTGGAGTTCATGGGGCTGGTGCAAACATTGGTTGTCTCCATCCCAGAGATGCTTCTGATCACCACCAACCCCTACGACTACAGTTACGTCTCCCAAGGAGAGGTGACCGTGGCCTCCATCGATGATGCTGAGGAGCTGCTGGCCACCGACGTGAGACATCTCCTGGTGGAGGGATGGGGTGGTGGAGACCTGGGATGGATGGAGGAGACCTTGGAAGGAGGAGTCCCTGTATGGATGGGTGGTCTAGGGATGGATGTGGCTGGCTGGAGAAGTCCATGGATGGATGGAGGAGACCATGGATGAGTCCTTGGGTGAATGGATGAGAGCCCTCAGATGGCTGGAGAAGTCCATAGCTGTGCTCAAAAGGAAGGAGCAGCCCACAGATGGCCCAGGGGCTGGAGACACCCTTCAGCCTGTTCCCTCCCCTTCCAGAGCGCTTTCGATGTCCTGGGCTTCACCAACGAGGAGAAGGCCGGTGTCTATAAGCTGACGGGGGCCATCATGCACTTCGGCAACATGAAGTTCAAGCAGAAGCAGCGGGAGGAGCAGGCCGAGCCGGACGGCACCGAAGGTGGGATCCACCTAAAGGTGACCAATCAGGATGAGGAACCCCTCGAGGCCTTCCAGGTTGACCTTGTCTTCTCCTTAGATGCTGACAAGTCGGCTTATCTGATGGGCCTCAACTCGGCCGATCTTCTCAAGGGCTTGTGCCACCCTCGGGTCAAGGTTGGCAATGAGTACGTCACCAAGGGGCAGAACGTGCAGCAGGTAAGGAGGACACTTCCCAAACCACCTCCTCCAGCAGCACGGAGCCCACCAGGGTGTCCTTCTTCCAGGTCTACTACTCCATTGGAGCCCTGGCCAAGGCGGTCTATGAGAAGATGTTCAACTGGATGGTGGTGAGGATCAACAACTCGCTGGAGACCAAGCAGCCGCGGCAGTACTTCATCGGCGTCCTGGACATCGCCGGCTTCGAGATCTTCGACGTGAGCCTTCAGCCCCTTGAGTGTTGGGTTGAGCCCACTGGGTCTTCACTTGACCCCATGGACCCCACTGGGCATCCTGGTGACTCCCCTGGGTGTTGAGTTGACCCCATTGGGTCTTCAGTTGACCCCATTGGCCACTGAGTTGACACTGTTGACCCCATTAGGTCTTCAGCTGACCCTGCTGGGTCTCCAGTTGACCACGTTGACTCTCCATTGACTCTCCACTGACTCTCCATTGACTCTCCATTGACTCTCCATTGACTCTCCACTGACTCTCCATTGACTCTCCATTGACTCTCCATTGACTCTCCACTGACTCTCCATTGACTCTCCATTGACTCTCCATTGACTCTCCACTGACTCTCCATTGACTCTCCATTGACTCTCCATTGACTCTCCATTGACTCTCCATTGACTCTCCATTGACTCTCCATTGACTCTCCTCCCCCAGTTCAACAGCTTCGAGCAGCTCTGCATCAACTTCACCAACGAGAAGCTGCAGCAGTTCTTCAACCACCACATGTTCGTGCTGGAGCAGGAGGAGTACAAGAAGGAGGGCATTGAGTGGGAGTTCATCGACTTCGGCATGGACCTCCAGGCCTGCATTGACCTCATCGAGAAGGTACCACTGCCCCCAAGGTGGCTGGAGAAGCACTTTAGGTCCTGCTTGGTGTCCACCATGACCAAGCAGGTCTTCTCCTTGCCAGCCCATGGGGATCATGTCCATCTTGGAGGAGGAGTGCATGTTCCCCAAGGCTTCGGACATGACCTTCAAGGCCAAACTCTATGACAACCACTTGGGCAAGTCGTCCAACTTTGGCAAGCCCCGGAACGTCAAAGGCAAGACAGAAGCTCACTTCTCCTTGGTCCACTACGCTGGCACCGTGGACTACAACATCATTGGCTGGTTGGAGAAGAACAAGGACCCTCTCAACGAGACGGTGGTGGGGCTCTACCAAAAGTCAGGCCTCAAGCTCTTGGCCAGCCTCTTCTCCAACTACGCTGGCGCAGACACCGGTGGGTGGTTGGGCAGTGGGTGATGGGTGGGGGGATGGAGAAGACAACTGCCCATGGAATCATCTTTTATCTCCAGGTGGTGATGGAGGGAAAGGCAAGGGAGCCAAGAAGAAAGGTTCTTCCTTCCAGACAGTGTCTGCTCTGCACCGGGTATGGGACCCATGTGGCTCCACCCCCTGCCCCATAGCTCCTCCCCCTTGGCCAACCCTCTTCTCCACCCACAGGAGAACCTCAACAAGCTGATGACCAACCTCAAGACCACCCACCCCCACTTCGTCCGATGCCTCATCCCCAATGAGCGGAAGGAGCCAGGTGAGGAGAAGGGGGTGATATCCTTGTGGTGGGAAGGGGCAGGGCTTGAAGCTGACCATGCCCCCTTCTTCCCCCCCCCAGGGGTGATGGACAACCCCTTGGTGATGCACCAGCTCCGCTGCAACGGGGTCTTGGAAGGCATCCGCATCTGCCGCAAGGGCTTCCCCAACCGCATCCTCTACGGGGACTTCCGTCAACGGTAGGAGCCCAGGAGATGGTGGGATGAGGTGGACAAAGCCATAGGGGATGAGCTTGGGTCGTCCTCATCTTCTCTGGCCACCAGGTACCGCATCTTGAACCCGGCGGCCATCCCTGAAGGCCAGTTCATTGACAGCAGGAAAGGTGCTGAGAAGCTCCTGGGCTCCATCGACATCGACCACAGCCAATATAAGTTTGGCCACACCAAGGTGAGGGCATAGGGGTGATGGTCCCCATGGTGCCACCACCCAGGGGGTCATCTGGACCTCACTGCCACATGGTCCCCTGCCCATTGGAGCCCCCTGGGCTCCATCCCACCACCAAAGTGTGTTCTTCATCCCCCAAGCAAGCTGATGTCTTCATCTCTGCACCAAGGTCTTCTTCAAGGCTGGGCTGCTGGGGCAGCTGGAGGAGATGCGGGACGAGCGCCTCTCCCGCATCATCACCCGCATCCAAGCTCAAGCCCGGGGACAGCTCATGCGCCTCGAGTTCAAGAAGATCCTGGAGCGCAGGTGGGGTGGGGTGGATCTGTGGGGCATGGGGGCGGCTCCGCTCCTGGTGATGGACACCTCACCATGGCCAATCCAGGGACGCGCTGTTGGTGATCCAATGGAACATCCGGGCCTTCATGGGGGTGAAGAACTGGCCGTGGATGAAGCTCTACTTCAAGATCAAGCCCTTGCTGCAGAGCGCTGAGACGGAGAAGGAGATGCAGGTGGGTCAGGGCTGGGATGAAGGCTGAGGAGGAGGATGTGGGGACACTCATGGAGGGACCTTTGGGCCTCCCCCAGACCATGAAGGAGGAGTTTGGGCGGCTGAAGGAAGCCCTGGAGAAGTCAGAAGCGCGGCGGAAGGAGCTGGAGGAGAAGATGGTCTCCATGCTGCAGGAGAAGAACGACCTCCAGCTCCAAGTGCAGGCTGTGAGTGAGATGAACCCCAAAAGCACCTCTAGGAGAGGCCGCCACCCCCCATGGGACCTCCCCTCCTCACCCCCCACCCCACCACAGGAGCAGGACAACCTGACTGATGCTGAGGAGCGTTGTGACCAACTGATCAAGAACAAGATCCAGCTGGAGGCCAAGGTGAAGGAGCTGACGGAGCGGCTGGAGGAGGAGGAGGAGATGAACGCTGAGCTCACGGCCAAGAAGAGGAAGCTCGAAGACGAATGCTCCGAGCTGAAGAAGGACATCGATGACCTGGAGTTGACATTGGCCAAGGTGGAGAAGGAGAAACATGCCACCGAGAACAAGGTGAGGCCTCAGCCCGGATGGGGTTGAGGAGACCCGAGCTTGATTGGCTTGAGGAAGTCAAAGTGTGGCTGAGTTGAGAAGACCCAAGGCCCATTGTGTTTGGTTGAGGAGACCCAAGGGTGGTTGGGTTGGGTTGAGAAGATCCAAGTCTGGTTGAGAAGCCCCAACCCTATAACGGTGGCCGCCTGATGTTCTCCTTCTCCAGGTCAAGAACCTCACTGAGGAGATGGCCAGCTTGGATGAGACCATCACCAAGCTGACCAAGGAGAAGAAGGCCCTGCAAGAAGCTCACCAGCAAGCGCTGGATGACCTGCAAGCCGAGGAAGACAAAGTCAACACCTTGACCAAGGCCAAAGTCAAGCTGGAACAGCAGGCAGATGACGTGAGCAGGGACCAGGGCCACCATCTGAGGACCTCCTCGGTGAGGAGGACAACCTTGGTTGGTGGGGACAACCTGAGGTTTCTCCCCATTCCTTGCAGCTTGAAGGCTCCTTGGAGCAGGAGAAGAAGATCCGGATGGACCTGGAACGTGCCAAGAGGAAGCTGGAAGGTGACTTGAAGCTGACCCAGGAGAACATCATGGACCTGGAGAACGACAAACAGCAGCTGGAGGAGAAACTGAAGAAGTGAGGAGGGGCCTCCTTTGTGTGGGCCCAGCACGTGTGGGGGACATGGGCAGGGACCTCACTGTCCCCCCACCACTGGGTTCCACAGGAAGGACTTTGAGATCCACCAGCAGAACAGCAAGATGGAGGACGAGCAGGCGCTGGCCCTGCAGCTCCAGAAGAAGCTGAAGGAGCTGCAGGTGAGGGACCCAGGGGGTTGGGTTGAAGGGTCTCCATCTGGTAGGGCTGGGTTGAGATGGGGTGGGTTGAGCTCAGGTGGGTTGAAGAGCCTCCACCTCCTTGGGTTGGATTGAGCAGAAGAGTCTCCATCTGCTTGAGTTGAGTTGAATCGAAAGGTCTCCATCTCCTTGCGTTGAGTTGAGTTGAAGGGTCACCAGTTGGTTGGGTTGGGTTGGGATGAGTGGGTTGGGTTGGGTTGGGATGAGTAGGTTGGATTGGGTTGGGATGAGTGGGTTGGGTTGGGATGAGTGGGTTGAGTTGGGTTGGGATGAGTAGGTTGGGTTGGGTTGGGATGAGTGGGTTGGGTTGGGATGAGTGGGTTGGGTTGGGTTGGGATGAGTGGGTTGGGTTGGGATGGTGGGTTGGGTTGGGATGAGTGGTTGGATTGGGTTGGGATGATGGGTTGGGTTGGGTTGGAGTGGGTTGGGTTGGGATGTGGGTTGTTGGGTTGGGATGAGTGGGTTGGGTTGGGTTGGGATGAGTGGGTTGGGTTGGGTTGGGATGAGTGGGTTGGGTTGGGTTGGGATGAGTGGGTTGGGTTGGGATGAGTGGGTTGGGTTGGGTTGGGATGAGTGGGTTGGGTTGGGATGAGTGGGTTGGGTTGGGGTGGTTGGGGATGTGGTTTGGTGTGGTGGGTGGATTGGGTGGTTGGGTTGGTTGGGTTGGATTGGGTTGGTTGGGTTGGGTTGATTGGTTGTTGGGTTGATTGGGTTGGGTTGTTGGGTGATGGGTTGGGGTTGGGTTGGGTGGGTTGGGTTGGGTTGGGGTTGGGTTGAGTTGGGTTGGGATGGGTTGGGTTGGGATGGGTGGGTTGGGTTGGGTTGGGTTGGGTTGGGTTGGGTTGGGATGAGTGGGTTGGGTTGGGTTGGGATGAGTGGGTTGGGTTGGGATGAGTGGGTTGGGTTGGGATGAGTGGGTTGGGTTGGGATGAGTGGGTTGGGTTGGGATGAGTGGGTTGGGTTGGGTTGGGATGAGTGGGTTGGATTGGGTTGGGATGAGTGGGTTGGGTTGGGTTGGGATGAGTGGGTTGGATTGGGTTGGGATGAGTGGGTTGGGTTGGGTTGGTATGGGTGGCTTGGAGGCCCTGGAGGCGGTTGGCTGAGCAGAAGCTCTGGGTGAAGCCACCTCTAACCCTCCCCTGGCCTTGGCGGCCCCAGGCGCGCATCGAGGAGCTGGAGGAGGAGCTGGAGGCCGAGCGGACGGGCAGGGCCAAGGTGGAGAAGCTGCGCTCGGAGCTGTCTCGGGAGCTGGAGGAGCTGAGCGAGCGCCTGGAGGAGGCCGGGGGAGCCACCTCGGTGCAGCTGGAGCTCAACAAGAAGCGAGAGGCCGAGTTCCAGAAGATGCGGCGGGACCTGGAGGAGGCGACGCTGCAGCACGAGGCCACGGCCGCCGCCCTGCGCAAGAAGCACGCCGACGGCGTGGCCGAGCTGGCCGAGCAGCTGGACAACCTGCAGCGGGTCAAGCAGAAGCTGGAGAAGGAGAAGAGCGAGCTCAAGCTGGAGCTGGACGACCTCACCTCCAACATGGAGCAGCTGCTCAAAGCCAAGGTAGGAGGAGGCTGAGGTGGGCGTCACAGCTCCAACGTGGGCACCAGGCTCTTGCTTCACGCCTTTGCCCTCTCCAAGGTGGCCATGGAGAAGGTCTCCCGCACCATGGAGGACCAGGCAGCCGAGCACCGCGCCAAGCTGGAGGAAACCCAACGGGTCCTCAATGACACCACCACGCAACGGGCAAAGCTCCAGACTGAGAACGGTGGGGCCCCCCCTGACCTCCTGCCCCACAGCTTCACCTTCCTGCCCCAGATCTTTACCCCCCTGCCCCACTTCTTCACCCCTCATGCTCTATGGACCCCCCCAGGAGAGCTAAGCCGGCAGCTGGACGAAAAGGAGGCCCTCATCTCCCAGCTGACCAGGGGCAAGCAGTCGTACACCCAGCAGCTGGAGGACCTTAAGAGGCAGCTGGAGGAGGAGGTGAAGGTGAGTTTAGAGGGTTGGGAAGACCGGGGTCTCCAAGAGAGGACACGAGACCAGGTCTCCTTCAGCCTTATGGTGGTAGAACCCAAGAGGAATCACGTTCAGGCTGGTTGGGTTGGGTGGTTCCATCTCAGAGTTGGTCCATTTCATGGTAGTGCCATCTAAAGGTGGTTCCACTTTATGGAGGTTCCATCTGAGGGTGCTTCCAACTCATGGAGGTTCCACACTAAAGGTGGCTCCACCTGACTGTGGTGGATTTGGGGTCCCTCCATCCAGCAGTGAATGGGTTGGATTGCTCTACGGGCTATTGGGTGGGATTGACCATGGAGAAGTCCAACTGGGCTGGGCTGAACAGTGTTGGGTGTGGGGGAAGGTGGGGATGGGATGGTCAAGAGGAGGCTTGGGCTGAGGAGCAGCAGTGGTGATGAGCTGGAGGACCTCGAGGGAGTGCAAGGTGATGGGGAGCCAATGGTCCTATCTCATCCTAAAGATCCAAAGAAGATTGGGTTGATCAGGAGGTCTAGAGGGAGGAGGTTGGGTTGGTTTAGAAGAGGTTTAAAGAAGGTTGGGTTGGGTCTAAGAAAGGTCTATGCGAGGTTGGGTTGGTCTAAAGGAGGCTGGGTTGTATCAGAAGGTCTAGAGAAGGTTGGGTTGGTCTAGAGAAGCTTCAGAGGTTTGCTTGGGTCTACAGAAGCTCTAGAAGAGGTTGGGTTGGAATAAGGAAGGTCTGGAGAGGGCTGGGTTGGATAAGGAAGGTCTGGAGAAGGCTGGGTTGGAATAAGGAAGGTCTGGAGAAGGCTGGGTTGGAATAAAGAAGGTCTGGATAAGGCTGGGTTGGAGGAAGGTCTGGAGAAGCTGGTTGGAACTGGAGAAGGCTGGGTTGGAGGAAGGTCTGGAGAAGGCTGGGTTGGATAAGAAGGTCAACAAAACTGGAGAAGGCTGGGTTGAATAAGAAGCTGCTGGGTTGGAATAAGGAAGGTCTGGAGAAGGCTGGGTTGGAATAAGGAAGGTCTGGAGAAGGCTGGGTTGGAATAAGGAAGGTCTGGAGAGGGCTGGGTTGGATAAGGAAGGTCTGGAGAAGGCTGGGTTGGCCTGGAGGGAGCTGGGTTGGTCTAGAGGAGGTCAAGAGGAGGTTTGGGTTGGTCTCCAGAAGCTCTGGTTGGGCTGGGCTGATGAAGCCCGTTTCTTGCCAAGCTGGAGCCGCCGAGGGGGGGTCACCTCCACCTCGACCTCGACCCAATGGTGCCCCCTTTTGCTCTTCTTGCCCCCAGGCCAAGAACGCGCTGGCGCACGCCCTGCAGTCGGCCCGGCACGACTGTGACCTCCTGCGGGAGCAGTACGAGGAGGAGACCGAGGCCAAGGCCGAGCTCCAACGCGCTCTCTCCAAGGCCAACTCCGAGGTGGCCCAGTGGAGGACCAAGTATGAGACCGACGCCATCCAGCGCACCGAGGAGCTGGAGGAGGCCAAGTGAGGAGACATCACCTTACGGATGGGAACGGCAGTGGGTGGACACCATGAGGCCCTCCAGCCATCCTGAGGGCCTTTGAGAGAAGGTTGAAGGACCTGGAGGTTGGGTTGGCCTGGAGAAGGTCTAAGAAAGGTCTAGAGGAGGTGGGATCGGTCTAGAGAAGGCCTGGGGGAAGTTGGATTGGTCTAGAGCAGGTTGGGTGTTGGTCTCCAGAAGTTCTAAAGGGGATGGGATTGGGCTAGAGAAGGGCTAAGGAACCTTGGGTTGGTCTAGGAAAGGTCTAGAAGAGGTTGGCCTGGTCTGGAGAAGGTCCAAGGAAGGTTGGGTTGGCCTAAAGAAGACCTAGAGAAGATTGGGTTCTTCTAGAGGAGATGGGATGGGTCTAGAAGGATCTGGAGGAGGTTGCAGGACCTGGAGGCGAAGAGTTGAGCCTTGGCCCATCTGTGAGTGGGAGAAGGTTTGAGGTGGCCACAACTGCGGCTCCTGGTCGCCCCGGGCAGGAAGAAGCTGGCGCAGCGGCTGCAGGAGGCCGAGGAGGCGGTGGAGGCCGTCAATGCCAAGTGCTCCTCCTTGGAGAAGACGAAGCACCGGCTGCAGAATGAGATCGAGGACCTGCTGGTGGACCTGGAGCGGTCGAACGCGGCAGCGGCCGCCCTGGACAAGAAGCAGAGGAACTTTGATAAGGTCGGGGGCACAACAGGGGCCTGAGGGGATGGAGGAGGAGGAGGAGGAGGATGTGGAAGAGGAAGAGGTGGAGGAGAAAGAAGTAGAAGGAGGAGGAAATGGTGGAGGAGATGTGGAGGAGGATGAGGAGGAAGAGAAGGAGGAAGAGAATGAGATGGAGAAGGGGGAGACATGGAGATTGAGGAGGAAGAGGAGATGGAAACAGAAGGAGGAGAAAGATGAGGACTTGGAGGAGGAAGAGACATGGAGGAAGAGGTGGAGGAGGAGGAGGAAGAGGTGGAGAAGGTGAACAAGGATGAGAAGAAAGAGAAGAGGGGAAGGAAGAGACAGAGGAGGAGTAAGATGAGGAGAAGGAGGAGAGACAGAAGAACATGAAAGAGGAGAAGAGGAGAGGGAGGATGGAGAGGAGGGAGGTGGAGGAGAAGGAGGAGGAGGAAGATGAGAAGCAGAAGGAGAACGTGGAGGAAGAGGAGGAGGAGGAGGAGCAGCACATGGAGGAGGAGATGTAGAGGATGAGGAGGAGCAGGAGCACGAGGAGGCTCTCCCGTGGTGCCCATGCCCCGGTGGTACCCGCAGGTGCTGGCTGAGTGGAAGCAGAAGGTGGAGGAGGCTCAGGCTGAGCTGGAGGCCTCGCAGAAGGAGGCCCGAGCCCTTAGCACGGAGCTCTTCAAGCTAAGGAATGCCTATGAGGAGGCCCTGGAGCACCTGGAGACCTTCAAGAGGGAGAACAAGAACCTTCAAGGTGAGACCTTGGGGTCCTCGCACCCACCTGGTGCTTCCCCACCGTTGTCCATGTGCTGTGATGGGTTCTCCACCCTCTTCAGAGGAGATCTCGGACCTGACGGAGCAGCTGGGCTCCAGCCACAAGAGCATCCATGAGCTGGAGAAGGTCCGGAAGCAACTGGATGCTGAGAAGCTGGAGCTCCAGGCGGCGCTGGAGGAGGCGGAGGTGAGCCCGGCCCCATGGGTGCCTGCACCCTTCTGTCTCCATGATCATCAAGGTCTTCTCCATCCTCCCGCCAGGCCTCGCTGGAGCATGAGGAAGGGAAGATCCTGAGGGCCCAGCTGGAGTTCAACCAGGTCAAGGTGGACCACGAGCGCAAGCTGGCTGAGAAGGACGAGGAGATGGAGCAGGCCAAGCGCAACCACCTGCGGGTGGTGGACTCCCTGCAGACCTCCTTGGACGCGGAGACGCGGAGCCGCAACGAGGCCTTGAGGTTGAAAAAGAAGATGGAAGGGGACCTCAACGAGATGGAGATCCAGCTGGGGCACGCCAACCGCGCCGCTGCTGAGGCCCAGAAGCAAGTCAAGACCTTGCAGGGTTACCTCAAGGTACGGTGGTGGTGGCTGGGGGTCCCAGCAGGAGATGATGGAGGAGGCTGGGATGGGCTCCAGAAGGTCTTCCAGTCTTCATCTCCACCCATGTGGTCCTCAATGGTTCTTCATCCCATCCCCACCTCCCCTGATGGGTGGGCATCCCCATCCTCTCCCCACTGTGTCCCATCCTGTGGTGCTTTGCAGGACACCCAACTCCAGCTGGATGATGTGGGGCGGATCAATGAGGACCTGAAGGAGAACATGGCCATGGTGGAGCGGAGGAACAACCTCCTGCAGGCCGAGCTGGAGGAGGTGCGGGCGGTGGTGGAGCAGACCGAGAGGACCCGCAAGTTGGCCGAGCAGGAGCTGATTGAGGCCACTGAGAGGGTGCAGCTCCTCCACTCGCAGGTGAGACCTCCTCAACCTCCAAGGGGTCACCTCCAGCCATGGAGAAACCAAGCGGGCATCTCCCGAGCTTCCAAGACGTCCAAGTGGAGCTCCTTGCTTGCCACCGTGCTCCAAGCCTGCCGGTCCCCCCCTCCTGAGGTGCTCTCCTCCACCCTGCAGAACACCAGCCTCATCAACCAGAAGAAGAAGATGGAAGGGGACATCTCCCAGCTGCAGACCGAGGTGGAAGAGGCCATCCAGGAGTGCCGCAACGCCGAGGAGAAGGCCAAGAAAGCCATCACTGACGTGAGCAGAGCACCCCTTGTCCAGCACCACGGTGAGGAGGCCCCGGCGTGACCCTCCTCTTCCTGCAGGCAGCCATGATGGCGGAGGAGCTGAAGAAGGAGCAGGACACCAGCGCCCACCTGGAGCGCATGAAGAAGAACATGGAGCAGACCATCAAGGACCTGCAGCTGCGCTTGGACGAGGCCGAGCAGTTGGCGCTCAAGGGGGGGAAGAAGCAGCTCCAGAAGCTGGAGACGCGCGTGCGGGACCTGGAGACGGAGCTGGAGGCCGAGCAGAAGCGCAACGCCGAGAGCGTCAAGGGCCTGCGCAAGTCGGAGCGGCGCGTCAAGGAGCTCAGCTACCAGGTGAGGGCACCTGGGCCGGCCCCCGAGCGAGGCTGGGGTTCACCTGGTGGCCATGGTAGAGCTCCAGCAATACCGGTATTGGAGGTGCCCAGGCCTGGTGAGGCCTCATCCCCAGCCCCGTCTGTGTCCTCTGCCTGCAGACGGAGGAGGACAAGAAGAACCTCCTGCGGCTGCAGGACCTGGTGGACAAGCTGCAGATGAAAGTCAAGGCCTACAAGAGGCAGGCGGAGGAGGCGGTGGGTGAAGGGACGGGGGGGTGGGATGGGGGAGGAGAAGGTTGGATGGATGGATGATGGATGGGTGATGGATGGATGGATGATGGATGGATGGATGGGTGATGGATGGATGGATGATGGATGGATGATGGATGGATGGATGATGGATGGATGATGGATGGATGGATGATGGATGGATGGATGGATGGGTGGGTGGATGGATGGATGGGTGGATGGATGGATGGATGATGGATGGATGGATGGATGGATGGATGATGGATGGATGGATGGATGGATGATGGATGAATGGATGGATGGATGGATGGATGGATGATGGATGGATGGATGGATGGATGGATGGATGATGGATGGATGGATGATGGATAGATGGATGGATGGATGGATGGATGATGGATGGATGATGGATGGATGGATGGGTGGGTGGATGGATGGATGGATGGATGGATGGATGATGGATGATGGATGGATGATGGATGGATGGATGGGTGGGTGGATGGATGGATGGGTGGGTGGATGGGTGGGTGGATGGATAATGGATGGGTGCAGCAGAATGTCACCCCCTCCAGGAGGAACAAGCCAACACCAACCTGACCAAGTTCCGGAAGGTGCAACATGAGCTGGATGAAGCTGAAGAACGCGCAGACATGGCTGAGTCCCAGGTCAACAAGCTGAAGGCCAAGAGCCGGGACATCAGCACCAAGGTGGGACCTTCTCCCCCATGGCCCTGCCCCATGGCCCTGCCCCATGGCCCTGCCCCATGGCTCTGCCCCATGGCTCTGCCCATAACCATGCTCCATCTCCTGTCCTACCCTAGAAGCTGCACGACGAGGAGTGACCCCACCACCAAGACCATGTGACCCCATGACCCCACGTGACCTCTGAGCTCAGCACCACCCCTCCCTGCCCAAGGCAGGGCCTGATGATGTCACTGAGTGACCCAACATTGACCCAGCATGACCCGAAGCAGCTTTGCTGGCTGGAGAGCTGTCAATGGGCGGCTGTGGGGCGGGCATGGGGCTGGGAGCAAGGCATGATGGGATGGCACTTGGAGGTCTGATTTGGTTGAGGGATGAGGCCATGTGGGGTCACCAGAAGATGCCGAGCTGGGCACCAGTAGTGAGGGCATCATGGAGAACACCAAGGCGGAGGCCAAGAGACCCACAGGTGCCACCTACACACCCAGAACTGAGGGCTGGGACCCAGAACTGAGCCCCAGACCCATAAGTGACCCCTCCAGACCCACAGATGGCCTCTGGGGGACCCAGAACTGAGCCCCCAAACCCATACGTGACACTTTGAGACCCACACACGTCTCCCCAAACCCACACACGACACTTTGGGACCCATAAGTGCCCCCCAGGGACCCATATCTGACACCCCAGACCCTAAAGGCCCCCTGTGTGAACCACAGAGACACAAAGGAACGCGCATGGTCCCATACTGGCTGAAGGGGCAGAGAGGAGCGGGATGGAGCCACGGATGAGCGGGCGGGCGGGCCCTAGGACCCGGGGCGGCCTCGGCGAGGGGGCGGAGCCTGTGCTGGATGGGGCGGGGAGAGGGGCGGGGCCATGACCATACAAGGAGCGCGGCGCGGCTCTTTTGGCACCGCCCCCGGGGCCCTGCCGGTCCCTGCTGCCGCGGCGCCGCCTGGCGGATGAGAGAGGAACCGCGCCCGGGGCCAGCGGTACCCGGGGGGGGCGGAGGAGCCAATGGGGGGGGGAGCAAGGAGCATCCCATCATTCCAGGCTGTCCCGAGCACAGCACATGGAATAGTGCTGGGAATAGGGTAGGGTAGGATATAATGGGATAGGGTGGGTAGGACTGGATAGGATAGGAATGGATAGGAATGGATAGAATGAGATGGGATGGGATAGGATGGGATGGGATAGAAATGGATAGGATGGGATGCGATGGGATGGGATAGGATAAGAATGGATAGGATGGATGGATGGGATGGGATGGGATAGGATAGGATAGGAATGGATAGGACGGATGGATGGGATGGGATAGGATAGGATAGGAATGGATAGGATAGGATGGATAGGATTGGATGGGATGGGATAGGATGGGATGGGACAGGAATGGATAGGATGAGATAGGATAGGAATGGATAGGATGGGATAGGATAGGATTGGACAGGTTTTGATAGGATAGGATGGATGGGACAGGATGGGATAGGATGGATAGGTTTTGATAGAATGGGATGGGATGGGATGGGATGGGATGGGATGGGATGGGATGGGATAGGTTTGGATAGGATAGGATAGGATAGGATGGGATGGGATGGGATAGGATAGCATAGGGGATAGCAAGGTGCATGTTCCTTGTGGAAGGACACGTCCCATGAGCCAGGGTCTCTGCGTTAGCGGTGCCTCGGGTGGTGTTCAGGGCTCTCCTGTAGGAGCACCGCTGTCTTCTGTCCCGCTGCCCTGTCACAGGCACCTCCGCTCCCTCCTCCTCCGGGGTCGGCTGCTGCCCTTCCCCTTCCCCCCTGAGCAGTCTGGAGGAATCCCTGCCCCACGGAACGCCAAGCTCCAGCTTTACGAACCCATCGCTCCTCGGTGCCGAGCGTGGCCATCCCCTTCCCAGCCACAGGCAGGGGCCAGAGCACCGCGAGAGGAACCAGGGCAGGAACGAACGCATCCCCCAGCCCGCTCCAGGTGGAGCCGAGCCCCGCACCAGGGCTCCCGTGAGCACCGCGATCCGCCCGCTCTCGGGCACCGAACCCTCCCTCTGTGCACCCCAGAACCCGGATCCCAAAGCACCGAACTCCTGCTCCCAGTCCTGCAGGGCCCCGGTAGGGAGCTGCAATGGGTGCAAGAGCTGGATCCCTCCCATCACCGAGCCATGGAAGCGATGTGGGCACGGTCCTTGCTCCTCTGGGCAGGCTGCTCCCAGCTCACCCCAAGGGGGATCCCCCTTCTCCTGCGGTGCAAACCTCCCTGTCAATAGGAGCCTTTTGGAGCACGGACACGGGGAGGCTGAACCCCCAAACCCAGCCATCAGGAAACTGCTCCTGCCCCACAGGCGGATGCAGCCAAACCAGTCAGGATGCGGCACCTCTGCCATCACCGGGGTGGATCCATAGGGATACAGAGAGGCCCAGGGCTGGGGGCACGCACAGGCCCCTATGTACCCCCCAGTGCCGCGCTACCCCAGCACCCACAGAGGAGCTGCTGCACCCCTGGGGACCGGCAGAAGGGGAGCAAGGATGAGGGTGCAGGGGAGCCCGGCAGCAGGGCCCCTCCATGGGGGTAACGCAGGGCTCAGCACCCATGGTGACCCCAAACCCTCTGGGTCTCAGTGGGGGGATGATGGGCGCTGCGTGCGCGGTACCAGCCAAGGATGCTCGTCCCTCTGCCGAGCTGGGATGGGAGCAGAAGGGAAGGCACCGACAGAGGCACAAGCAGCAGCACCAGGGGCTCTCGGTGTGCCCGAACCAGCACCCATGGGTGAATACAGGGCATGGACAGGAGCACGGTGCCACCCTGGCAGCGCAGGGAGGGCAGGGAGCCGGGGCAGCTGCAGATGCTCCTGGGCCAGCACAAGGGGTTTATTGCAGGGATGGGTTGGTTCCACCGGCACCGGAGCCCCACGGCACTGGGAAGAGCCCCGCTTCCTGCCGGGAGCATGGCGGGGCGGCACGGAGCGCGGGGAACGCCTCGGCCACCCCGGCGGCACCTGCGGGAGGGGGGATCCCGGCGCTGTTTGAACTATGTACACCCGGGCCCGAACTCAGGAGCCCGAACTCGGGCCCCGTCCTGCCTCGGCCAGCGCCGGTGCGGGGCTGGCGGTGATCCCAGGGGAGAGCGCTGCAGTCCTGGCCCCGCGCATGGGGCTGGGGGGGGCTTACAAAAGACGTCTCTATCCTAAAAAAGGAGGCAGTGCTGGAAACGCTGCCCGGAGGCACCGGAGGCACCGGAGGCACCGGAGGCACCGGAGGCTCAAGCCACAGGCATCAGTTTCGCTCTCCTGCGCCGTTCCCCATCGGCAGCGGGGCCGGAGCCCGGGGTTTGGCACATCCCTGCCCGTGGGGCGCTGCTGGGGCACGGGGCAGGGGGAGCCGTGCCCGCTCCCCCCCTGCATCACGGCCCCGGGGGCACCGGGGGCTGCGCTGCAGGAATCCCAGCAGGGTGAAGCAGTCGAGGGCGGCCTCTGCTCTCGTCGGGGTCCAGGCAGGAGAGGTTTGGGCTGAAAACCCCAGGAATCTGCACAGTGCAAGAAGCGCGGTCACAGGAGTGCCCCCGCGGCGCCCCCGGGTGCGGTAACACCGGGAGCGGGGCACGGGGTGCTCGGGGCCCCCAGCACCGGTACTCACTGCTACAAGACCCGGGAGCTGCTCCACTGCCGCTCCCATCCACCCTTGGACCTCATCTCCTGCACGGCACCGGTCTGTGGGGGGGGAGGAAGGAGGGGAGAAAGGGGGGTGAAGGGAGGGGGGTGAGGAGATGGGGGTGAAGGGATGGGGGGGAGGGTGAAGGAGGGGGGTGAAGGGAAAGGAGGGGGAAAGGGATGGGGGTGAAGGGATGGGGGTGAAGGGATGGGGGCGAAGGGATGGGGGTGAAGGGAGAGGGGTGAAGGGAGGGGGGAGAGGGAGGGGGTGGAGGGGAGGGGGTAAGGAGGTAGGGGGTGGAGGGAGGGAGGGGGAAAGGGAGGGGGGTGAAGGGATGGGGGTGAGGAGATGGGGGTGAAGGGATGGGGGTGAAGGGAGGGGGGTGAGGAGATGGGGGTGAAGGGATGGGGGGTGAAGGGAAGGGGGATGAAGGGATGGGGATGAAGAGGGGGGTGAAGGGATGGGGGTGAAAGGAGGGGGGTAAAGGGATGGGGGGTGAAGGGATGGGGGTGAAAGGAGGGGGGTGAAGGGATGGGGGGTGAAGGGAAGGGGAATGAAGGGATGGGGATGAAGAGGGGGGTGAAGGGATGGGGGTGAAGGGAGGGGGATGAAGGGGGGTGAAGGAAGGGGGATGGGGGGGGTGAAGGGATGGGGGGTGAAAGGAAGGGTGATGAAGGGATGGGGATGAAGGGGGGGGGGTGAAGGGATGGGGCTGAAGAGACCCCAACACCCCAACAGCACCACCCTGCACCCAACCACGGGCCCCAGCGCCCCATTGCTGCCCGTGGGTAGGGTACCATGGGCAGGCCTTCCCCCGCAGCCATGTCTCCGGAGCCGATGTGCGTCAGGTGCACGAAGTTCATGGGCTCCCCGATCATGGAGCGCTCGATTCGCCTCCTCCTCTTCTTCTGCAAGCAGACGAAGGCCGTGAGCCCCCCCCCCGGCACCCCAAGGCCACCAGGCCCCCCCATGGGCACCCCATTGCAGGCACTCACCGGCTGTGGCTTCTCCAGGACGCAGCAGCCCAGCTTGTGCCAGAAGTCGCTCATGGTGGCAGCTGCCGCGGTGCAGGGAGCCCGGCCCGGCCTCACTCCATGGACCCGGTGCGGGCGGCTGCAGGGGGGGAAGGCAGCGGGGATGCCGGCAGAGCTGAGCACCAGCGCCCATGGATGGGACAGAGCCCGCGGTGGGGCCTGGGCATCACCGGAGGGGCTGGGGCCAGGGCAGGATCCGGCTGCGGATGAGGGATGCTGGGGGGCGGACACAGGCGGCCCTGGCACATCCCAGCTCCCTGCTCCTATAAATATCCCGGCCTTCCCGAAACGGGGACGGAGCTGAGCTCTTCCGCTCCGGCTCCGAACCAGGATGGGGGGGACCCACGGGGGTCTGCGCCCATGGCCCCGCTTGGGGCAGACAAAGGGGGTGTGGACATGGGGGGGGGCTCACCCCAAAATGGGAGCCCCCGAGAGAGCACAGCCCCAGTGCAGGCACCGCGATGGCGCTGGGGGGAACCGAGGCACGGCCCCGCTTGGCAGCTCCCGGTGCCGGCAAACAGGAAACGGCGCCTTCCTCTGCGGCCAACACCGGCACCAACACCGGCACCGGCACCGGATGGGTCCGAAGTCCATGGCTGCCACCCAGCCCTCCCTACAGGCACTGGGTGCTGGGGGGGGGGCAGCCCCCCGGGACAGGGCGCTCAGCACCCGCTGGGTGCTCTGGGCCCGCAGGATTGCATCACCCCAGCGCTGGCCCCATTCAGAGCCTCGCCAAGGCCGGGACCGGGGGTGGCCCCCGGCTCAGCACCACTGAGCACGGGCCGGCTGTGACCCGGCGGGGGGGTGAAGCAGGGCTCAACCCAGCCATGGCCACCGATGGGCACAGCGAGAGGGGGGCTCCTTTGCTTCCCAGCCCCATTCCCTCAGGGAATGAGGCCGCCAGGGCCAGGCCCCCGCTCGCTGCCGGGTTCAATGGGGCGGGAAGGCCTCAGGACCGGGCTCAGCCTCGCACCCATGGAAACCCCGAGGGGTTCAAGGCACCACGACCCCCCCCACACGGCACCCAGTGCCCCCCCCGAGCCCAGCTCCCCCCCTCCATCAGGGGCCCCGTTCGCCCACCCCTGCCCTCAGCCGGGCCCGGCCTCAGCGCAGCCCGGCCCAGGGCGCTCAGGGCCCGGCGCGCACAAAACCACTTCCCCGTTGGGCGAGGGCCGCTCCGGGCACCGGGGACCCGGCGGGAGGAGGCCCCGGGACCCCCGGCGTGGGGGCGGCCAACGGGGGCAGCAGCGCCCGCTCCCCGCGCCCAGCACCGGGGCCTGCAGGGGCGGAGGTTTCGGGGCTCTCCCTGAGCCCGGGGGGAAGCGGCAGGGCCGGAGGGGCCCGGCGGGGCCTGCGAGCCCGGAAGCGGCGGTGCGGGCAGGCCGGGGGTGTCCGGGCAGGCCCGGGGGTCGCGGCAGGGCCCCGGTTCCGCCGCTGGGCTTCAAGGGGGCCCGGCCCGGCCCGGTACCGCCCCGGTGCCTTCCCTCGCGGCGCTTTCGGAGGCCCTTCCGCGGGGTCGCCCCCCTCGGGAGGCCCCGGTCCCGGTCCCGATCCCCGTGGCGGCTCCGTTACCTGCCCCGGCGCTGGGTGAGGGGTCCCGGTGCGGTCCCGGTGCGGGGCTCTCGGTGCGGGACGCGGCGCTCCCCCGCCGCCCGGCTCGGCCCGGCCCGGCCCGGAGCACAGCTCCCACCCTGGACGCAGGCGGCATTGCAGGGACCGCGGCCCGGCGGGAGGGGCCGGCGAGGCCGGGGGTCCCCCGGGTCCCAAAGGCACCCCCAGGGTGGGGGGGTCCCGGGTGCAGCGGTGCTGGGGACCCCGTTGGGGCTTGGGCTGGGAGTCCCCAGCGGGGGCTCAGCGGTGCCGGGGCCCTGGGAGCCCCCCAGGACCGGGGGTCCCGTGCAGAGCTCAGGTTTGCCCTCGGGTGCTTCAGGCCTGGAGGGACCGAAGCACCCAAAATGGGGACCCCCCCGCACCCCACGGCCGGCGCCCGGCAGCATCGACTGCTCCCAGCGTGGGGCAGTGCCGAGCACGGGGGTGCTGCGGAGGCACCGCAGCTCCGGCCACCAGAGACCCCCATGGGGACCTCCGGAGCATCCCCTCCCGCGGGCCCCAGGCAGGGAAACCCTGGGTGAGCGAACAAGGCCCCATCCCTGTCCCCACTCAGCCCCATCCCTGTCCCCACTCAGCCCCATGCCTGTCCCCACTCAGCCCCATCTCTGTCCCCACTCAGCCCCATCCCTGTCCCCACTCAGCCCCATCCCTGTCCCCACTCAGCCCCATCCCTGTCCCCACTCAGCCCCATCTCTGTCCCCACTCAGCCCCATCCCTGTCCCCACTCAGCCCCATCCCTGTCCCCACTCAGCCCCATCCCTGTCCCCACTCAGCCCAGGCCCTGTCCCCATTCAGCCCCATCCCTGTCCCCACTCAGCCCCGTCCCTGTCCCCACTCAGCCCCATCCCTGTCCCCACTCAGCCCCATCTCTGTCCCCATTCAGCCCCATCTCTGTCCCCATTCAGCCCCATCTCTGTCCCCTGCCTGTTCATACCCCGAGTGTCTGAGACCCCACTTCAGCTGAGGGAACCCTTTTAGTTGTTGTGCTGCCAGAGGTCACTGTGTCCCCTACAACCCCCCCCAGCAATGTGTGTGCTGGGCCTGGGCAGCCCCCAGAGAGCCCCCAGTGCCAAAGCCACTGCAGCAAAATGATTCAGGCCCTGTAGAGCAGAGGGACCCCACATCTCCACATCCCGCATCCTCCCGCATGGGGCTTGGCACAAGGGCAGGGATGTCACAGGTCTGGGTTGTCACACACCAGGAGGAGACAACCCAAGGCCAAGGAGGAGTCACATCCAGCTCCCTATGGAGGTGCCCAGCCAAGCTGCACCCCATGGCCTCAGGGAGCCCTGGAAACAGAGCTCAAGCCCTGGCTCAAGCATCCTCCATCAGGCCCCGGTCTGCATTTTCCCCATGCCGGCTGCTGGCGGGGCCAAGCTAAGACCTATTTAAGGTCTATTGGGCTGCTATTTAGGAGCAGAGGACACGAGATCCTCTTGGCCACAGCACTGGTGGGGAGAGGATGATGAGGAGGAGGAGGCAGAAATAACCCAACTGGAAGCCAAGCACACGGTAGCAGGGGGGGAGCAGGCTGCACCCCTTGGTTCAAAGCAGCCCTAATCCCAGCCCTGGAAGCGATTCCAGCTTTGGGTGTCTCCCTGCTGCTCCGAGCTCCAGACACAAAGCCAAGCTATTTTTGACGCGCAGCATCAGAACCAAACACCTCCAGACTGAGCAATGCTGACAAAACAGCCCCCAAGCCCCCCTTATCCGTGGGGTTTACACCAAACCTCCTTGCACTTGACCCACAAAGCACCCTCATTCAGCCCATGAATGAAGGTCTGGGGGTGCCGCAGCACCCCATTTCTTCACATTGACGGCCAAAAGAAACATTTGCCAGCTCCTTGGAGGCTGAAACGCGCCCATTACCCCCAGACCCTGAGCTGGAGCGGGACATCCCCATCTGCAGCAGGTTCAATGCATCCCCACCTCCAGGGCTCCAGCACACGGGATCCCTTCCTGCGCATCCACGGCCCCTCCCTGCCGCGGGGGGGGGGGAGCCGCTGACTCATCTTCCCAGCGTCTGCCCCCCCTCCGACGGAGCGGAATTCACCGAGGGGCTGCATTGCAGACCCAGACACGCAGCAGACAAAAGGGACGCGGTGACGCCTGCAGCTCCCCGGCACAAAGAGCTGGTCCAGCAGTGAGCCCCCTCCATCATCCATCCATCCTCGGCAGGTAAGGTGGGATGCAGGCGGAGGGGGATGAAAAGGAAGAGGACGCTTTTTGGGGGAAGAGATTTGTATAGAGGGGGCATTGGCACCCCAGGGTTTTATTTGCTTTATCTATTTTGGGTGGAGGCATAAGCACAGCCAGAGGGGATTAAGTGGATAAAGGTGGTTTTGCCCCCACGAGAGGAATGGACCACAGTGATCCCAGGGGAAAGGCTCTTCCCTGGGGATGACACACAAGACAGGAGGGTTTGGGTTCCCCGCGCCATCCATTGCCTTTTCTGGATATTTCTTGTTGCTAAACTCCCTTTTCCCCCCTCTTTGAAGCTTTAAAATCCATTGTCCACAACATACCCCTCCCTGCTAAATAATGGGCTGCTGTTATGCAGGAAGGTACCCAGGGATGTGTACCCAGGGATGTATCCCCAGGGATGTATCCCCGGGGAGGAGGCTGCCTCAAAGCTCTGTGGCTCAGTTTCCCCGGGGGGGGGGAGGTGATGGAGGAGCCTTTCCCAGCCTCTGAGTTACATGGGTGATCTTAAATTTAGCAGCTGGGTCCCCCTCATCGCAAGGGCAGGGAGCGAGCGAGGGAGGGCGTGATTCAAGGCACGGCTGGATCATCCCGGAGCATTCCCATCCGCAGGGCTCAAACCGGGGGAATCAGTGGGCAAAGAGGGGGATCTTGTTTCAACCGGTTGCTCGCTGCCAAGCGATGAACGACAGCGCTGCCAGGGAGAAGGGAGGCAGCGCAGCAGTGACTCAGCTCCAGCCGTGCTGGGGGAGATGTGGAACCACATCCCCTGCTGCTCTCCCCCCGCTCCCGGTGGGTTGGGGTGGGGATGCAGAGGGGGCTCTGCGGCACAGGGGCAGGGTGGTACCCATGGGTGGGTGGGTGCGATGGCAACACCGAGATGCTTCTTCCAGCCCCTTCTAGAGGGTTCGGTCGTGGTCCCTCGGGGCAATGCGATGCCACCCAGGGAGGGGTGGGGCACAGGCTCTGTGGGGATGCACAGGGACCCCACCTGCTGCTCGACCCACGGGGTGCAAGACCCTTCTGCACTGTTTGGTGGGAAAAGGGCTCCTCTGGAGCCTGGGTTTCATCATCCGCAGCAGAGAAGGGTGTAGGGGACAGCCCAGCTCTGCTCCCTGCTAATGCCACCACACAGGAATCAAGGTGCCTGGGATGGGTGTCAGGAGATGGGATTGGGAAGGGGCTAGCCCATCCTGGCCTTCCTTCCTACACTCCCCTTTGTGCGGATGGGGAAACTTGAGGCACAGAGGCACAGGTCCCATTGCACACCCCTCCAAATTACAGCTTAGGAAAAGGCCGTGGATAAGACCAGTGGCAGAGCTCAGCTCTGCATTCAGACCCAACCTAAACCCCACACTCTCCTGCCCCACTGATTTTTCTACGGGGGTATCCCGTGGGATTTGGTCACTATGGGCAACACTTGAGAGTTCTGGCTGCTTTGGTAGAGCTTTTCTCCTCCTCTCCCCTTGCCCCCTTCACCTTCAAGCCCGAAGATGCTGGACACCATCAGCAGCCAGTACGATTCCTTCATCTACTGGAGGATGCCGATCCCACAGCTGGACGTGGCGGAGCTGGAGGGCCTGGGGCTCAGTGACGTGGCCCTCTACAAACCCAAGGGAGGGCTGGGCAAGCTCGTCGGTGAGCAGGATGAGGCCCGCCAGGACATCTGCCAAGAAGAGGACGGTCTGCTGCAGTTCAACAGCTTTAACTTCTGGAGAGCTCCTATCGCCAGCATTAGCTCTTTAGATTTCGACCTAATTTGAAGCCTTCCTTTCTGCCCCTCCTCACCCCCCCTGCCCTCTCCCTCTCTGCTAGGCTATGTCAGGATTCGGTTTTGGTGTCGGTTTGGAGGCTGGGGTTTTTGTGTTGTCGCCAGGCAGCGTCTGACATCGTCAATTAACGTTAAGGAAATGGTTCACCCTGGCCCTGACAGAAATGAGCTCCCCACAAAGCTTCAACCCTTCTCCCTCTTGTCCTCCCTCCTTGCGCTACCGCTGGTAACACCACAGCAGTGCGAGCAGGGGGTAACGGGACAGGGGGCAAATACAAGGGGAGGGGACAGAAACAGCCACCCCATTGCCCCACATGCACGGGTGTGGGAGGTGCTGGGGGCGTTCTGCCACCCCCCTGCACCCTGTGGCTGTGTGACCATGGGAGTCCCTGTGCTCGGGGACAAGCGGTTGAGCTGATTTCTGGTGTGCTTTTATAAGAAACCCATTTGTGCCAAGGGAATAGCGCAGACCGGGTGGGAACAGGCTTCGTCTTGCAGGAAGCGTTGCTCCTGCTCCTCTCCCTCTGTGCCCCCCTAGCCCAGTTTCTCCAGAAGCCACTTCCCTGCTTAACCAAACCCTTGGGAATGCGAGGTGGAAGAGGCAGGGATGTGTCTAGGACGTGCGCACAAACCTCTGCCTTGAGAGAAAGCATCTCTTTGGGCCTGTGGCTTGAGCCCAAGCAGGAGAAATGACACCCAGGAGGATAAATACACACAGAAATGCTCCAACCTGGCTTGGGGGGGGAAGAGCTGGGTGTTGCTGCCCAAAATTTCCCTTTTCTCCCTTTTTTCTCCCCGCCCTGTGCTTTATCTCAAGTGCTCCAGGTACCTCCTGGGAGCCGGGCGGGAAGCAAGGGCTGGGCTGAAAGATAAGGAGAATTCAGTCTGCTCTTACCCCAGAATGAAAACACCTCTGGTTCCACAGCCAATTATCCCAGCCCCTACAACAGAAATGCTGCATTCTCCATGGAGAGGTTTCTGGCTGAAGCCTCTTCCCGAGCATCATGCCAAAACCAGGAACACAGTCCCCATCCCTGGATCATGTCTTGCTTTTAAACGGTTGTGGGCTTTATTCCCCCCAAATGGGAGAGTGAACACCACTGATTTGCTTCCTGATGGTGGTTTCCTTTTGGGAGGGGGGTTTAATGGGGTGATGTGGGGCATTTCAAGCTGTCCTAAGGGTTGCGGGGGGGGGGGAAGCTGAGGCAGCACCCAAAAGGTGCCCCAAAAAGGAGGAATACATTGGGAAACCCTGCCCTTTGCCATGAGGTCTCCTGTAACCTCCAGAAGGGAGCCAGCAGCCTGACTGTGAACCGTGTGAAGCCAGAGGTGACAAATGGAAACCCTCCTATGCAGAGCTGTGATTTCTGTGTTCCCAGCTGGGAAACCCCACAGTATTTATTATGAAGCTTGAATTAAAGTACTTCAAACCGTACACGCTCCCGTGGATGCTTTAAAAAGAGCCCCTGGAGGCCGGAACCTGGTTATTTCCATAATTTGCTATTAAATTGTTTTAAATCCTTTTAGGGCGAGTTAAGAACGGATGCACCCGGATCTTTGCAAATGCTGTAAAGGACTTCAGTGGGGAAATAAGCTAAGTGATTATTTCCATAGGATGCTTTAGGTTGAAGGGAGCTTAAAGCTCACCTAAAGCCACAGGCAGGGACAGCTCCCATTAGAGCGGGATGCTCCAACCTGGCCTTGAGCACTGGAGCATCCAAATCTCCCTTCAACCCATTCCAGTTCCTCAGCACCCTCCCAGGGAAGAGCTTCTGCCTCAGATCCCATCTCCACCTCCCCTCGGGCAGGTTAAAGCCATTCCCCAGGCCCTTGTCCAGGTTTCCTGTAGCCCCTTCAGGCACTGGAACTGCTCTGAGCTCTCCCCTTAAGGAGCCTCCTACCCCGACCATTATTCCAAGAGCATTAAGGGCATTACTTGAACTTCACCTTTCCCAAACCCCGTCAAACGGCCCCAGGTGACCCCCAGGGAAGGAAGAGCCCCGAGAGCTTCCCCCTGGCTCAGAACAGGCACTGCCAGGGCCTCGGGGGGCGGCCTGCCACAGGGAGCGAGGGCCCCGCACCCTGAATGGAGCCCAGTGCCGGGCAGGAGGGCACTCACAGGAGATGGAGACCCACGAACGACTTTATATATATAAATACATATACATGTATGTATGTATACAGACGTACCTAAACGCTCACCGAGGCACGAAACAACCGCACCACAACGCGGCTCCGCCGCCCTTTTGTACTTGGCGCCTAAACGCCTCTGCCGGAACTAACTGCAGGGTCGCATCACTCCGCGCCTTGATTCACTAGAACGCAGCCCTCTTCCTGTGCTCCTTCCGCTATAGAAAATACTCCTCTTTTAGGGCCCCGCCGCTGCTCGCCGCCCTCCTCCCTGGCTGGGAGGGTGCTGGAACAAAGGAGAACTTCCCTAACCCTTCCCCGTACCCTCTGTACCAGCGAGGGAAGGCACAATCCGCCCCCATCCCCGCTGCCGGCGGCGGACTCTTTTATTATCGGTGAGGTATCCTTCCGCTGCCACTTTGCCTCCCCATCGGCCATTTTGTGTGGCCGCGGCGGGAGGGGCGGGAACAGCCGCGGAGGGGAGGGGCGGGGAGAGGAGGGGGCGGTGCCGCGCGCCGCGAACAGCCGCGTGCGCTGGGGGGGGCCCGAGCCGCTGAGTGAGTGAGACCGGAGGGGGGGGGTGAAGGGAGACCCCCCCCCCCATGGGAACGGGTTTGGGGGGGGCCTTTAAGGGGTCGGTCCTGAGGGGCAGAGGAGGGGGGGTCGTGTGAGGGAGCAGCGCCCGAGCGCGTTTGGAGGCGGTGGGAACGGGCTGTGCTCCCCCCCCCACCGCGGGGAGGGTGTTTTGGGGGTCCCGTGTGGGAGCAGGGGGGTCCTGGTCCGGGAAGCGGGGTCCGGGTTGGCAGCGGCCGCCCCACAGAAGGCACCGGGGCTGTGAGGTGAGGGGCAGCGGGGGGGGATGCAGGGGGTGGCTGAAACCAGGCCTGAAATGCGGCCCCGAGCGCAGGAATGCGGGGCCCAAGCACCAAAGGGCCCCAGGCTTGGGGAGCGGGCCCGGGTTTGTGTCCGTGAGCCCGCTCCGGCCTTCCCCGAACGCCCCCGGGCCCTGGGTGCTGCATCCGGATGGCGCTGAGCGGGGCTTGCGCTGTTGGTGGCCGAGGAGGGGCTGGGATGGATCCCCCGGAGGAAACAGAGGAGAAACGGAGCCGGTTCGGAGAACGGGGATCGAAGGGGAAAGAAAGGAGCCGCAGGGCTCGGTGCTGCTGGGCCGCTGTTAACGCCGCTCGGCACCGGGCCCCTCCGTCTGCTGCCCATGGCGAGGCTTCCAAGTCAGTTTGAGCGGCCCGGCAGGCAGCAGCAGAACCCCGTCAGCGGGAACTGGTGCGGTTCCCGTCCCCGTGCTTGTGCTCTATGGAGCGTGTTCTATGGAGCGTGTTCTATGGAGCGTGCAATGCACAGGCACTGCTGCGGGTCCTGCTCCTTGTACGGCCTTGAGCACATCCCTGCAGTCCCCGAGGTCTGCGTTATCCTTGCCAAGGGGTAGCTCCCCCGTGCGTGGTTGAGTGCTGGGGTCAGAGGGGGAGCCTTGAACTGCTTTAAACCTCATGGAGATGTGTGCTGGCTCTCACAGGTCCTGCTCCTGGAACGGGATCCCCATGGGCAAGGCTCTGTGTCCATGCAAGGTGCTGTCGAGGTAAGGGGAGTGCTTGCAGAGCTCTGCGGGCTCCTGGTGCCTGGCCCTGGGAGGGCACAGAACTGAGCAACAGGATGGATATTCATATGTGAATTGTTATTTATAATGTATGCTTATTTATAAGATCATTATTTACTTAAATATTAATATGTTGATATTAAAAGTATAATTATTTATTTTATAAATATTAATTAACATTAAGGAGGTGATCCTGCCCCTCTGCTCCGCTCTGGTGAGACCTCACCTGGAGCACTGTGTGCAGTTCTGGTGTCCTCAATGTAAAAAGGCCATGGAGCTGTTGGAACAAGTCCAGGAGGCCACGAGGATGCTCAGGGGCTGGAGCAGCTCCTGTATGGAGCCAGGCTGAGAAAGTTGGGGCTGTTCAGCCTGGAGAAGAGAAGCTGCGTGGAGACCTCAGAGCAGCTTCCAGTGTCTGAAGGGGGCCTATAGGGATGCTGGGGAGGGACTCTTCATTAGGGACTGCAGTGACAGGACAAGGGGTAATGGGTTAAAACTGAAACAGGGGAAGTTTAGATTGGATCTAAGGAGGAAATTCTTTCCTGTGAGGGTGCTGAGGCACTGGAATGGGTGCCCAGGGAAGCTGTGAATGCTCCATCCCTGGCAGTGTTCAAGGCCAGGTTGAATGGAGCCTTGGGTGCCCTGGTTTAGTGTGAGGTGTCCCTGCCCGTAGCAGGGGGTTGGAACTGGATGATCTCGAGGTCCTTTCCACCCCAACCCATTCCATGGTTCTATATTTATACCTGTTTATTGATAGTTCTGGGCCTGGTTCTGGGTGGGACGGTGTCGTGTCCGGATGGGCCGTGGTTGTGGAGCACTTCTCAAGTCCATGTCTGTGCCTCACTGCTTTTGTCTGTGTCCCCTTTTCCTGCTTTGAAGCAGCTTGCAGCGACCGCTTGTTCCCATGCATGAAGATGTCCTTGGTGGACCTGGGGAAGAGGCTGCTGGAGGCAGCTCGCAGAGGGGAAGATGACGAAGTGAGGAAGCTGATGGCGAGCGGTGCTCCCTTCACCACCGACTGGGTCTGTCACTGTGCTGCGTGCTGGGTCCTGGGCAGGACAGGGTTGGTGTGTGGGGTTGATGCTTTAAGGAACGCATTCCCAACAGCTGATAAATGATGAGTCAAATGAGAGGAACTGAGAAACCTCTCAGGAATAAGAAGTTCCTTTAAAATGCTTTATTTCAGTGTTTAAACTCTCGGCCCACAAACTCCTCTTTGGTTTGTGGGGTTTGTTTTGTTTCCATAAAACCCCCAAACCAAACCAGCCCATCCTGGGTTGGAAAGGAGTTACGAGGTCTAATGAAAATAAGAATAATAGTTGGATGAACAGGGGACAAGCCCATAGTGAAGAAGCCATCGGTACCCATTGTCCATCTCTAATCCTTCTGATTTCCTAACCTACTGCTCTGTCCATGCCTTATGAGATGAAGGCATTAACCAGGCCAAGAGGGAGCAGAGCAGGAAGTTGTGAATGCTCCATCCCTGGCGGTGTTCAAGGCCAGGTTGGACAGAGCCTTGGGTGCCCTGGTTTAGTGCAAGGTGTCCCTGCCTATGGCAGGGGGTTGGAACTGGATGATCTCAAGGTCCCTTCCAACCCAACCCATTCCATGGTTCTATGATCCTTGTAACACTGCCCTTTTCTCACCAGGGGGGAAATGATCTCACAGCATGGAAATGGCAGAGCTGTTCTGCTGTGGTTTGGGATAGAGGCTCAGGGATAAAGGGATGGTGAAACAGGGGAAGTTTAGATTGGATCTAAGGAGGAAATTCTTTCCTGTGAGGGTGCTGAGGCACTGGAATGGGTGCCCAGGGAGGTTGTGAATGCTCCATCCCTGGCAGTGTTCAAGGCCAGGTTGGATGAGGCCTGGGGTAATATGGTTTAGAGCAAGGTGTCCCTGCCCATGGCAGGGGGTTGGAACTGGATGATCTCAAGGTCCTTTCCAACCCACACTATTCTATGATTCTATGGTGCAGTTTGGTGCAATTCCTCCAAAGCTTAATGTTTGTCAGGAAAATTATGGGATGTGCACCCCCCTATTTAGAAGTGGAAGGAATAAAGGTCCAGGTCGTTTCTTCGGGTGCCTTTATCATTTTGATTCCTGCCCATGCCCTGTTGCTGTGGTGCAGCGATAACCGCCTCTGGATTCACACGCAGCTCGGGACGTCCCCTCTGCACCTCGCTGCCCAGCACGGCCACTACTCCACAGCAGAAGTCCTCCTTCGAGCCGGTGTGAGCAGAGATGCCCGAACAAAAGTGGACCGGACGCCGCTGCACATGGCTGCGGCCGATGGGCACACTCACATCGTGGAGCTGCTCATTAAGGTGAGTGTGGGAAGCCAGGTCTGACTTCAAGGCTGGGCTAAATCACCTTTGGGGTTCACACAGTATCACGGTATGTTAGAGATTGGAAGGGACCTCAAAAGCTCATCCAGTCCAATCCCCCTGCAGAGCAGGAACACCCAGATAAGGTTACACAGGAACGTGTCCAGGCGGGTTTTGAATGTCTCCAGAGAAGGAGACCCCACAACCTCCCTGGGCAGCCTGGTCCAGTGTTCTGTCACCTCACTGAGAAGAAGTTTCTTCTCAGGTTTAAGTGGAACCTCTTGTGTTCCAGTTTGTACCCATTGCCCCTTGTCCTTTCATTGTTTGCCACTGAGAAGAGCCTGGCTCCATCCTCGGGACACTCCCCCTTTATATATTTATATACACTAATAAGGTCACCCCTCAGTCTCCTCTTCTCCAAACTATAGAGACCCAGCTCCCTCAGTCTCTCCTCATAAGGGAGATGCTCCACTCCCTTCATCATCTCAGTTGCCCTGCGCTGGACTCTCTCCAGCAGGTCCCTGTCAGTGCTGGTGTCCCTGTTTAAACACACTGCCGTTGAGGCATGAAGAGGAGGCAGCACGCTGACAAGTAATGCTGGTTTCTTGCAGAATGGGGCTGATGTGAACGCCAAAGACATGCTGAAAATGACTGCTTTGCACTGGGCGACAGAGCACGACCACCGCGACATCGTGGAGCTGCTGCTGAGGCACGGAGCTGACGTCCACGCTTTCAGCAAGTTTGATAAATCACCTTTCGATATTGCTCTGGACAAGAACAATCCAGAGACGCTGGTGATGCTACAGGTAGGTCCAGGAGGGAGCCTTGGTGGTGATTCTCTGACCCACGGCTGTATCTGTGATAGAGTGATCCTATTGTGTTTGATGGGATCGTTTGTCATCAAGTACTGCGTGCCTCTAGGAGTCAGTGGGTGATAGGGTTTTGTTTCCATGCATCTTTTAGAATCATAGAATAGTTTGGATTGGAAACGACCTAGAGATCATCCACTTCCAACCTCCCTCCCACTAACCCAGGGCACCCAAGGCTCTGTCCAACCTGGCCTTGAACACTGCCAGGGATGGAGCATTCACAACCTCCCTGGGCACCCATTCCAGTGCCTCACCACCCTCACAGGAAAGAATTTCCTCCTTAGATCCAATCTAAACTTCCCCTGTTTCAGTTTGAACCCATCACCCCTTGTCGGGTCACTGCAGTCCCTAATGAAGAGTCCATCCCCAGCATCCCTATAGCCCCCTTCAGACACTTGTGTGCTTGCAGTGTAAGTTGCCAAGTTTAGGGTGAGTTTTGTCACAGCTTTTGCACTGGTGCCCCCGACACGCTGCAGAGAGAAATTACCTGCCTCTAAAGTGTTTCAGTGATGCTGAACAGCAGAGGAAGCATGAGCAGTGTGTACTGAGCCCTCTCTGTCCTAGGAAGCGATGCAGAGCCAGGGAAACACTCACCCAGAGAGACCGAACCCCATCGGCAGCACTGTGACCCTCACCTCACCGCTCCTGCTTACACCAGGGGAGGTTCTTGATCTCACTGGGCTCGTCTCTTCCGCAAGTGCCAAAACCACCTCAGGTAAGGTTCTATGGGGCCTGCGGGGGGAGAGCCTTGAGAAGGGCTCCTCCGGCTGCTCACCAGTAGAGGGCAGATGGTCACTTAGCAGAGGAAAAGTGGCCGAACACCCCCAGCTCCCGCTCCCTGCCTCCAGTGGGTTTGCCCTGGAGGCACCAAAGCCGATTTGTAGCTGCTGTTACTGAAGGTGGTGCCAGTGTGAGCGGCGGAGCTCAGCTCTGGGTCTGCCCCAGCTCTGTTACAAGCGACAGAGCTGGAGAAGTTGGATTTGGCTGATTGCAACAGAGGGAAAATGAGGATTATTGCCTGTGCCAAACGTTGGGCACTGCGGGGCCATTGGGGACCGTTTGGTGTTTACTGCCTACAGGAATGTTCTGCTGTATATAAATGTTGAGTAAGGAAACTGCACAACAAGCAGGTCTGTTGGATATGGCCATTACTCCCCATTTCTTCTATCCCATGTGTTAGATGGAAAGATTTAGGCTCCTCATTGTTCTGTGAGCCTTATTTTGGTGGGGAAAAACACTCCAAAGGCTGAGTGCTGCGTTCTTTTTGTGTAATTTTCCAGTTTTCATCACAACTCTTCCAGTGATTTTTCTGTATTTGGGGAAATTGTTTTCAGTCTCAAGGAGGCTGCTAAATACAAGTTTTGTGGAGTTATTTGGCCTCATCCTGCAGACACTTCTGCATGTGAGTACTTTGGTTAGGGAGACTGTTCACATGCGTGAATGTTTGCTTGGTAGCTGGAGAGTGCTTTTAACATCCTGGATCCTGGTGTTGTGCAGTCCCACCCAGACCTCTCTGCCTGGCCACAGAGGCATCAGCAACACCCAGACCTCCTCCCAAAGCTTTCAGGGCTGCTTGCAGCTTTGGAGCACTGACAAACCCTAATGCAGAAGGGGAAAATGAACCCCAAGTGTTCCTCTAGCACCTGTGAAGGAAATGCGGTGTGACTGGTGCACAGCATCTTTAGTTAGTGCTATAAAGGTATTCCACAAACCCAAAGGCACATTAAACTTGGAGTTCTGCACCCCAGATGATGCTCTTGCCTTGATCAGCATCACTGCATCTGCAGATGGGTCAGGCTGTGCCTGGGGGCCAGGCAGGAGTCAGAGGCCCTGCTGATTTCATCTTAAACACAATCACAGCCTCTTGAGAGCTTCTCCTGGTGCAAATGCAGCGCTTTAGCTGGAATAATTCTGTTCTTTTCTATTTCCCCTATCCCTTTGATGTGGAGATCGATCTTGTCTGCTCTGTGCTTTGGTGTCACCGGGCTGAGCTGGGTGCTGGCTCTGAGTCCCTTGAATCCAGCCACAGTGAGCAGTGCTGCAGGTGAGCTCTTGGAGCTGGCCTTGCAAATCCCCAGCTCTCACTTCTCCTTGTCCATCCTGCAGTGTAATCACCTCTCTCAGTACCCAAGACTTACTGTCCACATGTGACTGGACTGAAATACCCTGGGGTTCCCCCCCCACAACACCTCCAGCACTGGCAACAGGCAGGCAGCTTGAAAACAGGCAGTGTCTCCTGCTCTAGGAGGTGTCTTCAGCTGCTCTGGAGGAATGTGGTTCCAAGCTGCTGCAGACACTCACTAGGCCTGTGCCTGCAGCCTGCTGAAAGGGTCATTCGTGGAAAACAAGTCCCTTGATAGCCCTGGTAAAGCCAGGAGCTGGTGAGAAAGAGAAGCAATAGGTCGCAAGGGTTAAGGCAGGGGAACTTTGTATGAACTTCCCTTTGTGTGCTTATAATCTCTTCATCTACGCTGGCAGCCAGGTACAGGATCTCTGTTTTGTTTAGTTTGAAGAGGAATTGTGGGTTGGATGCACTGAGTTTGCGCCCGTTTAGTTCATTTCCTGTTCCATTCTTCCCAAGTCTGCCTTTGAATAGGAATTACTATGGTCAATTGGAGGAAGAAACATTGTTTTTTGGAACCGAGAGGGCTTGTTTATCTCATTCACATCAACACCCCGGTGCAGGAACCCTGGTCTTTCCCTTAGTGACTCTGAGAGGGGAGGAAGAAAGTACCTGCATGCTCAGTGCATTGAAACCCAGCCGTATGTGCAGGCGGTTCCTGTGCCTGACCAAACTGCTCTGTAACCGACTGTGGCCCACAGAGTGCTGCTGAAGAGGCAGTGGAGGCTTTCCCAGCTGAGGAGGAACATGGGTGCTGTGATCTATTCATGATACCCAATGAGTTTAAGATATCCTTTGGGGTTTGCAGTGCAACACAGAGTCATAGAATCATAGAATAGTGTGGGTTGGAAAGGACCTTGAGATCATCCAGTTCCAACCCCTGCCATGGGCAGGGACACCTCGCTCTAAACCATATTACCCAAGGCCTCGTCCAACCTGGCCTTGAACACTGCCAGGGATGGAGCATTCACAACCTCCCTGGGCACCCATTCCAGTGCCTCAGCACCCTCACAGGAAAGAATTTCCTCCTTAGATCCAATCTAAACTTCCCCTGTTTCAGTTTGAACCCATTACCCCTTGTCCTATCACTACAGTCCCTAATGAAGAGTCCCTCCCCAGCATCCCTATAGGCCCCCTTCAGATACTGGAAGGCTGCTGGGAGGTCTCCATGCAGCTTCTCTTCTCCAGGAAGAGAATTCCTTACATGCATAGCAACTGATGTGAAGTACCCAGAGTGAGTCCAGGCTGTTCCATAGGAATAGCCAAGCCCTTGTTGCAGTCAGCAGTAGGAGAGGCACCTCATGAAAAGCCATCTGCAGCATCCCCTTTCCCATTGAGCACTGGGCCCTAGGAGATGCTTCAGAGCCGGTGCCCTGCTCTCTAGACCCCGAAGGGCTGCAGTCTGCCTCATTCCCCGTGAGCTCTGGCAGGTCCTCACCATGCCGGTTCCCACGCAGGTGATTGCCACGGCTCCACGCTGCCCTTTGCCAACTCAACCTCAGTGCTGGCCACGCTCGCAGCCCTCGCTGAGGCGTCCGCTCCGCTCTGCAGCTCGGACAGCGGCACAGGTAGGGGAAAGCACGTCGGTCCCATTTGGGTTTGTGCAGGCAGCGTCCTGGGAGGAAAGTGAAGACATGGAAGTGATTCTTGCCTTGTTTTCAGGGTGAGGAAGAGAGGATGGTAAATATTCGTGAAGCAGGGAGTGAATTTGGGGCTTGCTTTGGTTGTTTCATCCCAGTTAGGATGTGATTAAAACCCCAGCAGCTGTTACCAATAGAACCATAGAATAGTCAGGGTTGGAAAGGACCTTAAGATCATTGAGTTCCAACCCCATCTCCATGGGCAGGGACACCTCACTCTAAACCATATTACCCAAGGCCTCGTCCAACCTGGCCTTGAACACCGCCAGGGATGGAGCATTCACAGCCTCCCTGGACACCCATTCCAGTGCCTCAGCACCCTAATAGGAGTAACTTCATTTTTACTAGCTGCCATGTGTGACCCTGGTGTCGCAGCACGTTGCTCTTGGCAGGTTTTATCAGTTACAGATATTAAAAACAACAACAAGAAAGCACCACAAAACAACACGGGTTTACTGGAATGTGTAAATGTGGATAAATAGTGATTTAGGAGGAATGGGCTGCAATGGTTTCTGCCTCAATCTCATAAACTGGTGGTTGCCAGCAAATGGTTGGAGTATCCTGAGGTTCTGGTAACTTTTTCTTAGGAAAAGGTTTGGGTGGGGGTGTTTTATGGTCTTTAATGTTTGTAATGTTTGACCTTTAACTCCAGGTTAATGTCTATGTAATGCTTTAACCTTAACCTTCACTTCCTCAAAGTCTTTCCTAGACCCTAGAGAGGGGCAGTTTCCCTTTAAGCTGCTGCTGCCCCACCACTGCTCCTTGGCCTGGGGTGCTTGAGTGGTTTCCTCTCTCAGGGCGTCTGCATCCCGCTTGGGTCCCATTTCCTGCGCTTGCAGCTCACCCTGAGAGCAGGATGCAGCCCCGGCTCTGCAGGCCTGGTTCCTCCTGTCAGGAGTCACACAGGAAGGTGCCAGGAAGCTGAACCCCTCTGCAGCCACCCAGCCGAGCTCAGCACCCTCCCCAGGGCTGCTGTGGCCCTGCTGGTGCGCACGGGGCTCTTGGGGCAGTTTCTGCCTCTGGTTTGTCTTCATCAGAGCTGAGGGAAGGGTCACGGAAGGAAGCTCCCCAGAGCCAGATCTGCTCAACAGCTGCCTCCAGCTGCAGGCTGCCTGATTGAGCTACCGTGCTGCTGTGCTAGTGCTCCTTGTGTTACACCACAACGCACTGGTTTTGCCCTAGGGCACTTGCTTTGCCTAAGGTGGAGCAGGTTTCCTTTCCCCTCTAAGCTTTGCTGTGTGTCCGGGTTGTTTTCCATAAGCAGGCGTCCCACAAGCCTCAAGCTGCAAGCCTGAGCTTTTCCGCCAGGCTTGAGTTTGTATTCAAGGAAGAGAGAAGGAAACCCTGACTCTTTTCCTCATTAATTCCTCAAGGTAAGACAGAGGAGCCAGGGGAAGGAAATGCCGTTGATCCTGCCCTACAAGAAGTGGTTGGCAGCGGAGGGCAGCGCTTCATCGCCATTGTGTCAGACAGCATTTCCCTGGAGAGCCTGCAGACAGCCCTCCCCAGCAGCGGGCTCAGCCAGCCCCTCATCCTGAGCATGCAGCACGGGCAGCAAGGTAAGGAGCTGAGCTGGGGAGCCAGCACTGAGGAGTCCCTTTAGAAGGGGGGATGCTGCTGCCTGTGAGCCCTGGGGAGCCCCGGTGGGATGCAGCTTGTCAGCACTGTGGTGTAACAGGTCTGTGCCACACTGCGGGGCTCCAGGAGGGGTTGGTAACGTCAGTGTGACTGACACTGGCAGCAGAGCTTGTGTGAGACCTCTCTGTAGCTTGGTCCACACTGCCAGGCTTTAATATTCCAGTCCTTGCATCAAACCCAAACAGCTTCCATGGAATGCTGCAGGAGGACAAGTGCAGTCTTCAGCAGCCGGCCAAGGACAATTCCTGTATCTTATGGCAGGCTTCCCAGTATGGGAGTAAATCATTCTGCAGATGAGAGAGCAACCTGTTGCCTTTAGCTATCACTCCATTGTTCTTGTAGAACTTCATATTAGACCCTTGATATCAACTTCAATGCACCTTTCCCCCCGTAACGCTGTCACAGAGCAATATAATCTCTCTGTTTGACAAGGCCCATGTCAGTAGTGTTTAGTAGAGCCCCGGGTGCTCATGCAGTGAATTTTTGTTTCCTCAAGGGATGGAATTCCTCAGCCTTTACTACTGACAATCCTTTTAGCACGTCCTAGGGATCCTCAATGATTTGGATTAACACTGATGCACCAAAAGAGGATGAGGGAGCAGCGCAGCCCTCCTGGAAGGGGCATCCAGTGCTGCAGTGCCAGATGGGCTACAGCAGTTCTGTTTATGGACTTCACAAGTGAAGAGCAGTTTCCTAAAGCTGCTGATTATTCAGAATCACTTGCCAAATCCACGAAGGAATTCCTGGCTTGTAACCCATGCTTGGGCTAAGGGAGAAAAAGGGAGAACTGTTCAGCGCTGCTCGCGTGGGGCCTTTCTCCTCCTTAGTTGGATGAATTCTTGCTGTTGGCTTCCTAAAGTGACCCCCCAGTGTTTGCAGGTTGAAAATGCAGAGTGTTTGTGCCTCTTGCGTGCCCTTAAAGCGGATTCAGAGCTTAGCCATGGCACTGTGTGCAGGGAATTTTTAAGGAGAGCTTTCTGTTCCTCTTGCTGAGCCTGTCTCAGCTGTTAAGTGCATTGCTGAGGCATCAGAGTGATCGTTTGTACCTCATGTATCTTTTAAGATGCAAACATTTGCCTATGGATTCTGTCAGCCCCATTGCAGTGACTTACTTGGGTATTTCAGAGGCCTGAATGAAGGAAACTGGAAACCCAGTGCAGTTTCTCTCCTGTCCAGGCAGCCTTTGGCTTTCCTGGTCCACAGCTCTCCCCTTTCTCTCCCCAGACCCATGCCAATGCACTGGCTGCAGGGAAGCGCCTGTCTCGCACTGGGTAACTTGTCCCCTTTTGATTCTGCAGTGTTAGCTGTACCTGCGGGTCAGGTTGCAGAAGAGCAAGAGGCTGCTCTGGAAGGCAGAGGCTGTGCAGAAGAGGAGGAGCAGCCGGTGGCCAAGAAGCAGAAAGTGGAACAAAGCGCCTGTGACTCAGGAGAAGGCAAGGTAGACGGTCCTGCTCCTGACTTGGATTGCTGTTGTCTCCTGTGTGTTCAGTGCTGGGCTCCTGCTCTGCCAGAGCCATCCCAGAATAGACAGGAGCTGTATCCTCAGCTCTGGAGCAAGCTCTGCCCAGAGGTTCCCTGCTCTGCCTGCACACAGGCCTGTGCTAGCAATGGACACGCAGGTGGTCGAGAGCAGCGAATCTCAGCCCAGCACGGGTAGGAGGCAAGGAGCCAGCTGAGGCACTGTCACCCCTTTGCCTGTGCTGAAGCTGTGCCTGTTTGTTGGATGAATTGTGCTCATTTCCTGAGATCATTTAGGGTTTCCTGTAGAAGCCCTGCCCATGGACTGGGTATAAACCAGGCCTCAGCTCTTCACAGAGCACCAGGAATGACTCTCCCATCGCTCTGTTGGGAGGAAGAACATTTTCCACAATTGCCTCTCAACTTTTCAGCCCTAATAGCTCTTTATTTTTGTACATCTTGGTTGCCCCCCCTTCCAACCTTTGAAATTCATCGTGGGTGACTTCCCAGCCCACCCCCCCCACACTGTGCTGACAACGAGCAACCAGTTTGTGCCTTCCCACGTCCCAGTTGTCTCTGTGATGGGCAAGCCAGTTGACTGGAGCTCGACCCAAGCCTGCTCCTAGCGCTGCCTTGGAGCAGTTTGCTTTCACACAGTATCCCAGTATCCCAGTATGTTAGAGATTGGAAGGGACCTCAAAAGCTCATCCAGTCCAATCCCCCTGCCGGAGCAGGAACACCCAGATAAGGTTACACAGGAACGTGTCCAGGCGGGTTTTGAATGTCTCCAGAGAAGGAGACCCCACAACCTCCCTGGGCAGCCTGGTCCAGTGTTCTGTCACCTCACTGAGAAGGAGTTTAAGTGGAACCTCTTGTGTTCCAGTTTGCACCCATTGCCCCTTGTCCTATCATTGTTTGCCACTGAGAAGAGCCTGGCTCCATCCTCGGGACACTCCCCCTTTATATATTTATATACACTAATAAGGTCACCCCTCAATCTCCTCTTCTCCAAACTATAGAGACCCAGCTCCCTCAGTCTCTCCTCATAAGGGAGATGCTCCACTCCCTTCATCATCTCAGTTGCCCTGCGCTGGACTCTCTCCAGCAGGTCCCTGTCCTTAAACTGCTTTCCTACCTCCCGCACCCCATGTCCTCCATGGCATAGGCTGGGTCTCCATCACGGGCTCTCTCAACTCTGTTTCCTGCAGGACAGCGTTGCAAGGGAAGTGCTCCAGCAGCAGCTGCAGGAGGCGAACCGGAAGGCTCAGGAATATCGCAGCCAGCTCCTGAAGAAGGAGCAGGAGGCCGAGGAGTTCAGGCTGAGGCTGGCAGCCATGGGCAGGCAGGAGCCCAGCCCGGCCGGGCAGGCAGTGCTCGGACAGGTCACAGGGGCTGAGCCACCGGTGGTGACCTCAGAGGACATCAAGGGATCCGTGTTGGCCGTGCTGGGAACAGCTCAGATGAGTGATGGTGCTGTGGAAGCTGCAACCTCCTAACCCTGGCCTTTGTAAAGGGAGATCATGGAGGGGGCTGTTGGCCAAGCCCCCCATCACCAGGGTCAGGATCTTCTGCAGCCGCTTGCCACAGCCCTGCCTTCAGCACGGTGCCAGAGGTGCTTTCAAAGCTTCACCGAGAGAAATTGGAAGCTTTTTGAACACTTTAACCAGCGAGTGACCCATGGCTTACTTTGTGGTGTCAATACCTGCATTGTCGGGGAGGGGGAAGGAAACACCTCCCTGCCAAAGCTGCTGGTGTTAGCTCTCAGCTGCCTGGGAATCAGAGTGCTGGAAACAGGCTCTGGAGTAACCCAAGGCGCTTGCTCCCTTCTGTGAAGTCGAGTGACCAGACCTGGACCTTCAGCAGAAGTGGTCTCGTAGGGTGTTGCTTTTAAAACCTTGAGGTGTGGAAGGGAGCTCCCCTTTTAGCCAGAAAGGGAATGAATTCCGTGTCCTTTTTCTTCCAAAGCCAGGAATCTCAGCTTTCTGATGGAGACAACCTTGAGGGCAAGATGGATGTGTCAGCCAGAGCAGCTCCTGCTGTCAGGGAATGCGGTGCTTCCCCCTCTTTCTGTTGTCAGGAGAGATCTGCAGACCCCTCCACAGCCTGAAGGCATCACCAGGAGAATGCCCCCTGCACTGTAGGGTGTTTGTCAGATGTTCTGTTTGACACTGAGGATGATGTCTGCATCCTCTGCACGCAGCTCGGGTGAGGAGCCGGCTCTGGAGATACCTCACTTGTTACTACAGTGTTCAAGGGAACTGAAGCCTTTTCTCAGGAGCACCTGATCTTATTACCCAAAGATTCCTGCCTTGTTTGCTCTTTGCAGACCTGTTTAATGCAGGGAGCTCTTTAGTCCTGTGGATTGTGGGCTTCAAAAGCCAGGAACGGGTCGGAAGGGCCCAGGGCAATCCCATGGAGCTTGATGGGTGTGAAGGAAAACACCTCAGACCAATGAAGGTTGGGAAGAATCCCATGACTCAAACCGGGCCGTCAGTCACAGCAAGGATCTGAGGGTGAAGAGGGGCCTGCAGCACCCGGCCATGGCACTGCCTGCTCTGGGAGTGGCTTCGTGCAAGATAAACCCCTTGCTCTTCTGGCCCCTCATTTATTGCTTTGGGGGTTGATTTTTGGGGGGGGTTGTTCCAGTTTTGGAACCACTGTCAGGATTCAAGGTAATACCTTGTTTTCCCAGTCCTTGCATTGCATTTTTCCCTGTTATTTCCAAGTGTGTTGGGCCGAGAGTGGTTTTCTCTTGGTTCAGGTGCTGCCTTTGTTAATGTTTCTTTGCCAGTAGATCAGCCCCTATCCTGATGTAGCACGGACCAATGTGTTTGTGAAGGCTCTAAAGGAATTAGCCCAAGAGGAGACTGCTTTTCATCCTGAACCAGTCTGTGCCTGAAGGGAAGGCAGGAGCTGCCAGAATCCCCTCTTCACAACATGCCATCCTCAGGCTCCCCGACCCTGCTCTCCTAAAGGCTTTGTGAGACTGGAGGGTTTGGGGAATCCAAGTGCTTTATTTATAACCAGTGTAGCTCTATTTATAAGCAAGACTTTTGTATCTTTTTTCCAAAAGATGGTTTGAAGAAGGCTTTAATAATTATTTTTCATGAATGAGTGTGTGGAGATACTTTGGGTTCCTGCTTCCTGATCCCATCCCCAGGTCCCTGCTCACCTCAGACACGCAGTGGGTGTTTGTTCCCCACAACAGTGCCAGTTTGGGTCTCTCTGAACTGAAAATCACCCTCGGAGGGTTCACGTTGGTATTAAAGGAAATCCAGGCAGATTCTTCCAACCCTGGGAGTGTTTCTGGGTGCAAAGGGACACTGTGAGCTTTGGCTTTTCCCTTTTGCCTGAAGTCTGTGCTTAGTGCTGATCAATAGGAAGAGCTCAGCAGCTGTGTGCAAGCACTGTGTATGCAGTCTATGGAGATATGCACATGAGCACTGCACTGTGCCTTTGACTGCCCTGCAGTTCTCAGTGGTTTCCAGCCTTCTGCAAGGGGCCAGACCTGCCAGAAAGTCCCTTGAGCTGAGCCAGCCGTGCCCTTCAGAGGAGGAGGAGGGAAAAACCCAACCTAACACCAGGAGAAAACCCCAGTGGCACTTCCAGGAACGGGGTTTGGGTTATGGGGAGGGATGCACAAAGCTGACAGTGTTCTTGCTGCTTCTCCTTGCTGGGGGAAACCCCACATTTGGTTCGTGTTTGGTACCAGTCGCATACGGGCTCTGAATGAGGAGGAGAATCTGTTCCACCCAGCACTGAAAGCATTAAAACGTGGCTGTGGCCTCTGCCCCTCCCCAGCAAGGGTTTGGAGCTCTTTAAGCCAAGCCCAGCAGTTTTGGGGTGAGGTGCATGGTTACTGAGCGGGTAAACAGCCTCCCATAGAGCACAGGCCACATTCTGCTGTGTCAGGGCTCTTCTGCCCCACGCCTCCTCCATCCTGGCGCTCTGAGCACAGGGCTTGAGGAGGTTGAAGGCTAAAACCTCCCTTGGCTCTCCAAGGCAGCTGCTGCCCTCTGCCCACGCAGGCAGCCCAGGCTCCTCTGGGCTGCAGGCCTGGCATCGCATCCCCTGCGCGCTCGCATGCTTCTGCGGGTGGGAGAACCCCACTGCCTGTCCCGGGAGGGTGATGCAGGAGTCGTGCTCTGCAGTGGAGGAGGTGGCGCGGTGCTCACTGCACCAGTTTGAGTCTGACTGGACGTGTGTGGAAACAGAGTGCTTGGGGTTGGGAGAGACCTTACAGCTCCCCCGGCTCCAAACCCCTGCCATGGGCAGGGACCCCTTCCACTGGAGCAGGATGCTCCAAGCCCCTGTGTCCAACCTGGCCTTGAGCACTGCCAGGGATGGGGCAGCCACAGCTTCTCTGGGCACCCTGTGCCAGCGCCTCAGCACCCTCACAGGGAAGAGCTTCTGCCTAAGAGCTCAGCTCAGTCTCCCCTCGGGCAGGTTCAAGCCATTCCCCTTGCCCTGTCCCTGCATCCCTTGTCCCAAGCCCCTCTCCAGGTTCCCTGCAGCCCCTTTAGGTGTTGGAAAGTCTCCCCTTGAGCATTTCCCTCTTGTTCACAGTCACCAGCTCCACACCATTCCCATTCCCCTAAATGAGAAGCGGGGTGTTGTGATGGGGATGAGCAGAGGAGGTTGTGGAAGCAGGCACTGAAGGACCACAAAGGACAGTGACAAACCCTGGGTGCTCAGCTGAGCGTGGCGCAGGTCCCTGGGGCCTTCCCCATCCCAGCTCCCCCCATCCCAGTGCCCACGGGGCCCATTGGGTGCCAGATCCGATTATTCCTTTAATCCTGCCTTGATCAGCCCGGTTCCCCCGTGCCAGGCGCGGTGCTGGGGCTTTAGCACAGCAGAAACCGCTGCTTCACAGCAGCCCCCAGCAGCACTGTGGGGAGGAGCCCCCGCACTGGGAGCCCCTTTCCCATTGAGGGAAAGCGTTTGGAAATGCAGGAATTCCAACATCTGTACTATTCTGGGGGGCGTTTGTGCTGTTTCATACCCAACATCAAAGGGACATGGAGCTGTTGGAACAAGTCCAGAGGAGGCCACGAGGGTGCTCAGGGGCTGGAGCAGCTCCTGTATGGAGCCAGGCTGAGAAAGTTGGGGCTGTTCAGCCTGGAGAAGAGAAGCTGCGTGGAGACCTCAGAGCAGCTTCCAGTGTCTGAAGGGGGCCTATAGGGATGCTGGGGATGGACTCTTCATTAGGGACTGTAGTGACAGGACAAGGGGTAATGGGTTCAAACTGAAACAGGGGAAGTTTAGATTGGATCTAAGGAGGAAATTCTTTCCTGTGAGGGTGCTGAGGCACTGGAATGGGTGCCCAGGGAGGTTGTGAATGCTCCATCCCTGGCAGTGTTCAAGGCCAGGTTGGACAGAGCCTTGGGTGCCCTGGTTCAGTGAGAGGTGTCCCTGCCCATGGCAGGGGTTGGAACTGGGTGATCTCAGGTCCTTCCCCCCCCCCCCATTCCATGGTTCTGATTCTATCACAAACCAGCACCACCGCAGCGCGCAGCTTCCCTTGACCCCCGGTGTCAGCCCCTTTGCGTGCCACCATCACCAGCCCGGACCCCCAGGGTGGGCTCAGGGGCCCGGTGGCACCTTCCCCCCCCTCCCCCCCCCCATCCCATCCCATCCCATCCCATCCCATCCCATTCCATCCCATCCCATCCCAGAGCCAGGCGGGCACCAGCGCGGGAGCGACTCGGCTTTAATGAGCGTGAGCGAGCGAGCAGCGCGGGGCCGACCCCGCTCCTACACAGTAGGAATGCGCCAAGCTCCGGCAGGGGCTTCCCCCCCATCCAAAGCACCAAATAAATTAGAAACGATCAAACCCCCCCAAACCCGGGCAGAGAAAACCCCTTGGGAGTGAGGGAACGGGGACGGGGCCCTCCGCACCCAGGGAGTGCTGCGGGCCGGGGGTGTCCATGGGGGCGGGATGGGGGGGTCAGGGCCAGCCGGGGGCTGCCGGCGCCTGCAGGGGCTTGGGCAGCAGCGGGGGCTTGAGGGAGCAGGAGCGGTGCAGGGCTGGGGCCCGGGCCGGGCAGGGCCCCCCCAGCGAGTGCATGCGGGTGAGCGCCGGGGCCCTGCGGGGGGACCCCGCCTCCAGCGAGTGCCTCTGGGCCAGGGCGCGGCGCGGCGGGGGGGGGCTGTCGGGGGGCACATCCCGGCGCTGCGGGCCCGGGGCTCGGGGCTGGACCCGGTTCAAGGAGCCGGGGCCGGGACCGGGGGGGGGCGGTAGCGGCAGCCCCGAGCCCCCCGCGCCCCCCGCCCCGTGCAGGCGCTGCCGCAGCTCCTCCAGAGCGGCCCCGGACGGGGGGGGCGGCCCCGGCCCCGGCCCCGCGGGCTCCAGGCACCGGTGGGGGCCGCGCCGCGGCTCCAGCGCCAGCTCCGGGGGGGCCTCGGGGGGGGCCCCGAGCACGGGGTAGAGGCGGGGGGCGGGCGGCGGCGGCGGAGGGGGGGGCTCCGGGGGAGCCTTGGGGCGGCGGCAGGAGGC